GTATCTTTGGAAACTGTTTTTTATTTTAAATTTTTTGAAAATAAAAAGATGTACAAAAATTTTTGTTTCTAAATTATTGAGAACTATTTCACCAAGCATATCCCAAATTTTTAGTTAACTACGTAAATCCTCACATTACTTGCTTTTTTCTATTAATTTTGAAAACAGTCTTTTAATTTCTAAATTATTGAGAACTATTTCAGAATTGTAAATCAAACGGATCCTAAATTTTTAGTTAATTACGTAAATTGGCGCATTATTATTCCCTTTTTCTATTAATTTTTGCGATGCATCTTCATGTTTAGGAGGAAATAGAATGATGTATCTGTCTATGACTTTTGTTAAAGCTATATGAGCTTTTGATACTTGTGCCACTCCCACGGAAGGAGGCATAGAGAAGCTTCGGAGCCACTCATACGAATAACATGTTTGTTGCAACTTGCAACTACTTTTAGTAACAAACAATCACCTTTCTTAGTTTTTTTTCCCTTCATGGTTGTTCACTTGAGCTAACTGTAACTAACTTTGAAAAGGATTGTTAAGAGTACTGATTCATTTGGAATGTTGATGCTCTATTCAAAAGTCAACAACATATAAATAGTGTTTGATTTTCACAAAAGGGCAGATTACTTACTCCAAACAAATCAGAAAATGATAAACGTATACAAAAAAAGTAGTCTATGATGAAACTCTATTTTCCAAGTTTTTCAAAAAAAAAAAAAAAAAAAAGCTTTTCAAAAAAAAAAAAAAAAAAAGTCTATAATGATATTATGCGACACATATGTTCAATTAGCTTCTTAGTTTGTCCTTCACATTTCTCAATTTTGGTCAATGTGTTTTAATTTAATTCGACTTAAATGGTTTTGAGAAATTGCATTACAAAATATTACTATATGCGAACGTGGAATTATCATTTCATACGTCTCCTTTTTTTCCCGTGCATAATGAAAATATTCTCATTATGAACTGAGTAGGGCTAGTGTATTTATAAGAAATATCTAACTTTTCTGTAAAAGATCTTTTCTTAACAAACCTTATATTTTTTGTGGAGGTTCTATCCGTAAAAACGCTCTTTAATGAAACCATATGTGCGGTAAAGGGCAAATCTAATGCACAAAAATTCCCGCCAATGCGGGGTCCAGCAGGAATTATGTAATCAGCTTTGAGCATTCATAATAGACTAACAAAATTCTGTTTGATGATTTCTTTTCTTTTTTTCTTTTTTCCTTTTTCTTTCCTGTTAAGTATTGTTTCTGCTAGTCTTTATCAGATCTATAAAGGCCCAGTGGATGACCCAACAATTGATGATAGGGATAATTTGGTTTTCATTTAACACGTGACCAATCTGCCAATATATACTTTCTTTTTTCTTTTTCTTTTTTAATATAAAAATATCTGAAACTCTTAGCTAACATACCATGCAAAGCTTGTTTGACATGAATATATATACATTCTTCTGATTGAATTTCATTAACTTTTTACTCAGATTTGTTTCTCTATATATATGCAGTGCCTACTGTGAAAATTTAGTTCCCAAACATTTATAAATTATACAATAAAAAATGATTTAGAGTAAGACAGTCAGTATAGATCGATCATTGTAATAACAATTCGACTGTTGAGCTCCTTATTCTATAGTTACTTCACACACACACATATATATATATTAATCTAAGATCTTCTTGATGCTCTCTCTAATTCCACCTTTTCTCGGTACGTATTTACACTTCATAGCATTCTTGACACACTCATTTGTCTTTCATCTTACTCAATTTATCATTCACTCAAAGAAGTTTCCCATCTTTTTAGATGGCATATAAGAGGTATTGTGCAAGTCACCTTTTTTTAATTCAAATTCAAAGCATAACATTTAGTAGTCATTTGAATCAAATGACTCAGAATGTTGTTGATGATTTGATTTTCATATTCATTAATCACTAGACTAAACCACACCAGAGAAGCTATGGCAAAACCATGGTTACTTCCTTGTCATGTGATTAAAAAACCATTTTAGGCCTTTAGTGAAGTTTTCATCTGCCCTAATTTTATACTTACATTTTTTTGTCTCTATAAATGTAACTAATAATTAACTATCTAATCGTATTACACTACAATTGCCGTGTTGTCTACATTGTTAGGTTTTTTCTCTTGTCTGGACTCATGTTCAAACCTTGCACCCCGCCCCCAATAATAATAATAATAATAACATACCAAAGATGCGACTAATTACAATGATGTCAACAAATCATCATTTCTCATCAAAGTGTTTCTATTAAAGTTCTGTCTGCTAATAAAGCCCTTGCTTAAAATAGAAGCTCTAGAAGAAAAAACTTTTTGTAAAGTTCTCATCATTTATAAAGTTTTTGTTCTCTTTTTTTTTTTTTTTTTTTTTTAAATGCCACAGATCAAATCAGACACACGCAGCAAGCATATATAGACGAATATTAGCTCGAGAAAAAAACAAAAGAAAGAAAAAGAAATGAAGAAAACAATAACGTAAGAGCATAACGTAACAGATGGAGGAAATTGGGATCATATAAACATCACTTCCAAATTAAACGTCTTAAATTGAAACTAAACTTGGATATTTCTGATCAAGTATGAGTCAAAAGTAGTTACACACTTACACTTCACTACAAGCAAGAAGACAAGAGGAAAAAAAAAAAGAGGAAAACAATAGCTCAACTGTACCACACACCTTCTCCTCTCTCTCACACACACACACACGGGTATTCATGTTTGGGAATATATATACTAGTGATAGTGTTGTTTGAGGAGTTGTAATGGTCTTGGTGACGGTCTCTTTATTAGTATTGATTGTGAAGGAGAACCACTCGTGGAAGTTGCAACTAAGTCACACGAAAGAAAGAGAAGATAAGGTGGTTCTCTTTTAATGACAATGACTTCATGCCAACTCCAACCCTACGTTAATTAGGTTTTCATTTGTCTTCTAATCATCTCCTCTTTGCTAATTTGGATTATTATAGCCTTTATAGAGAGTGCGATGGTGGATTAAAATCATCTCCTATGTTACAATATATCTGTTCCAGCTGGTGAGAAGAATTAGTGATACATGTTACAAAAATTTTGTGATGTTTAGCCTTTCATTTTAACATTTTCGTAACGCACGTCTCAATATTCTCCTCATCGACTGAGATAGATACATTATCACGCATTTGATGATTTTAACTATATGATAGTTGGACGAATATGCTAGTTTGAGTGAGGGGGAAAGGTCCCCACTAACATCAGTGATAGGGCCCTAAGTTCCCATTTCCATTTTCAAGCTCAAAAATTTGAAGATTTAACAATGATAATATTAGAACTTTTATCTAGTGGGTGGAATTAATGATACATTTTAAAAAATAAGTAATTCAAACATCTGAAGAAGGTTTTTGTGATTTACTTGATCATTTGATCATTTTGGATTGTGCACTAAAGTACTTGTCAGTTTTAGAGATACTCTGTTTTTCTTTTTTTTAATTATTACAAGTTAATTAACACCCTATTTGCTTATGAGTAACTTTGAAAAACAGTGCAGATAGCACTGAAATAAAACCCATAATGGTAGTTTGTGAGATACTGGAGTGTGTGGTAAGTGGGCCTTTTAGATCTAATGGAGAAAATTTAGAGATTGTCTACATAAATTAGGTTGCTTGGTAAAGCAATTGAAGTTTGTTGGCCTGCTTTAATCACAATAGAATGATGGCATGAACCAAACAACCTTTTTATTATTATTATTTTTTTTAAATGTAGAAACATACCTAAATTAAATAATACTATAAGCTAGGAGGTTAAGAATATATAAATATTAAATACATACAAGTATATATAATTATATATATCTGTGTGTACTTGAATATTTATGCAATAAAAGTTTTGATTAGATCCGGAAGAAATTTAGTTCCCTGCGTGCATAAGCCCACGTTTTGAAGTTGACAATTAACACATTAACTCAGATATCAGGACAGATTCACCTAAGATTTTGAGGTCATTCAGAAATGTTGTTGTCTTGATACTAAATTTGAAAGATTCACAGGAAATAAATTAACTAAATTTGAAAGAAAAAAAAAAATACTTCACAGAAATATTCTCAAGGTTTTGTTCCAAGTAATCATCTTTATATTTAAAATATATACATTCTTACCACTACCAGGAAAAATAAATAAATAAAATAAAATAAATAAATAAATTCCTGTACTTGAACAAAATATTATAATCGGATCATGCACTATAAAGCAAGATCTTAAACAGCCCTTTAGTTTAGTGATCAACAAGTTAACCCAACCCAATCCTAGGAGGCTGATTGTGGCCTCTTTTAAAAATGAAACCCTATAAATCTCTACTACAAATATGTAAATTGATTAATATATCAGCAAACTGAGAATAAATGTTATAAATTAAATTCTATCCCAAGGCTGAAAAATGTCCCAGGAAACTCATAGTGTATGTGCCATTGGAGGAAAGGATGTAGCGAGCCTATTTGTCCTCAATTTACACTGACCAATTCCGAGTCTTTACAGAATTCTGGGCAATCAATCCTCCTTTGTTCCAACAAAACAACTGTCCATAGGCAATAATATCAAAAAATGTGGAATGATGGGAGATTTTGCAAGCCACAGAAAGCACATGGAAGATGATCGACGCATGTATAACTAACTCTTGTCCTGAGAAACAACATTTTCCAGAAATTGAAGGCAAATATGTGAAACAAACAGGTCATTTAAAAATGAGCTACACCACTAGCATCCTTTATTCCATGTTGGCATAGAGGACTTCAACCCTAGTTCTAAAATCTGGGTGCCAGGATACAGCCCTTAGTGGTAGGAGCATGCAAATGTTGTTGATACAAGTAGAAATAGTAACAGCAAAAACAACTATTTAGTTCGGACAAATTTATCAACTAAGCGTGCACTACTTGTTGCAATATTGTGACATGTTCAATGAAGCTACTAACATTCATTTTCTTTGCCAAGTAAAACCAACTTTAACAGTACCAATTGCCATAAAGCACCATGCTTTTTATTAATATATGGAGAAAGAAAGGCAGCAACTATTCAAATATAATACATTCAACCACCAGTGTTAAGTTGCAAACATTAACAAAGCGTCCTTACCAGCCTCATTTTTATTGGATTGTGAGTAGCTAAAAACATAGTGAATATCTGCTAGCTTTACAACTAACAACTGCCCTCCACAAGTTTGGAGTACACCCCAGGCTTTAAAAATAACACTCTATATGAAACATGCAAACGAAGCAACAGGTAGTGCACACCACATTGATTTCAAACAAGGGGTTGCCCTTACACCGGAGTCAAACCAACCACTCCTGCAAAACAGGTTAACAATAAGTATTGATAATAAAATTTTAAAGCCAGTCCAGATGTTGCACTGTGATCACATCTAGAAAAGAAAGTCTTTGCCGATCATAATTGATTTCGATTCATAAGACAAATAGGAATGAAGCCTGAAAAATATGTACATGTTGCAACACATAATAAATGACAGCTTAATATGAGCCCCAAAAGCATAACACCACTTCCAGCAGTATGGCTTGTAGAATAATACTCTTATGATGTAGAATGACAGTCACTAATGTATATCTACGCTTCCTGCATTTCTAGTTAGAAGATCCTTACCTAGGAAGCACGGACACGCCAAAATGGGCAAAGAATCCGTGTCCGACACGTGTCAGACACACCAAAAAATGTGTCTGGAATTTTTTATTTTTTTTTATTTTTAGACACGGCACGAACACTCCGCGGACACACGTCCAACAAGCAAGGGGTGTGTGTCCGAGACGCATGTCTTATTTTCGGGAGTCTAAAAGATAATTTTTGAAAGAAAATTAGGTTAAAGTATAAATATGTGAAGTTATTTAACAACTTTTACTCACTTATGTGGTCTGTACATAATAATTTTAAACTTGTAAGGTTAATATGCAATTTTAGACAAAACAAATAGATATTTAATGGCAGTCATTACACTATTACAGTAGATAAGTTATGATTTGTGTATTTTTTTCATTATGAAGTTGATGAAAAATAGTAACACTCAGTAATTTTTAAAGAACTACATCATATATATATATATATATATATATATATATATATATCTATACTATTATTAAATGTGCAAAGCGTTTCAGTGTTTCAGTATTTCAGTATTTATTTATTAATTGATATAAATTCTATAACACTCAAAATTACCTAATAAAATTAAAATTAATTCAAATTAACAAAATATAAAAAGAGTTTAATTCAAATTACAAAGTCCTACATTGGTTTTAAGTAAAAAGGATTACATGAAAGCCTCTTATAAAATTATAGAGCTAAAAAAATAATAATCACACCTTTTCGGCCTTTTGGCTAAGATCAAGTGTAGTACTAAATTTTTTTAGGTCGGCCTTTTGACTAACCTTTCTTGATCTTTTGGCTAAGATCAAGTGTAGTATTACTTTCTCGGCCTTTGTGCAAAGAGTTTCAGTATTTATTTATTAATTGATTTTGGGGAACTGGTTTTACCATGGTTCCAGAAATTTTGAATTAGGAATGGTGCCACATAGACTGGAACCTTGTCCTTTTAATTTGGAATATATTTCGTTAATTTAATTATATCAAAGCATGTTTAAAGCCCTATATATATGATAGTGTGTTGTGGACCTTGTGATTTGACTATGACAAAAGGGTCATTACCTCGTATGGTTCTTAGTTTCTACATTATATTTACATAAAAAAAAATATTTATTAATTAATATAAAAAGAGTTTTATCTATACTATTATTAGATGTGCAAAGAGTTTCAGTATTTAAGTACAAATTACCTATTTATCTATTTATTATGAGTTTTTTTAATGAAAGTTAATCTATAAATTAACTATTTATCTATTTATTGAAAATTATCTAATAAAATCATGCAAAGTGTTTATCTATTTCAGTACTTATTTATATATATAAAAAAATATTTACTAATTAATATAAAAATAGTTTTTGTAAAAATAGTTTCTATAATACTCTAAAAGTTACCTAATAAAATCAATCACATTCTATATAAAACTCTAATTTTTAGTTCAATAGTTATTTTTTATGGATGATTACCACAATATAACCGACCCGGCCCAGTTATGATTATGTAATTATAAAAAAGACACATGTCGTCATCTTATTAATCCAATATTAATCCAAGAAACCTTTAAATAGAGGAAGGGGCACAGAAATTGAGAATTCTAGAGTAAAATACGGAAACTCTGCAAAAGAGTTTCAGTATTTCAGTATTTATTTATTTATATAAAAAAATATTTATTAATTGATATAAAAAGAGTTTTTATCTATACTATTATTAGATGTGCAAAGAGTTTCATTATTTAAGTATTTATTTATTTATATAAAAAATATATTTAAAACACTAAAATATATATAATAAAATTTAAATTAACCTATTTATCTATTTATTATTATGAATTTTTTAATACAAGAAAATATAATTACACAAGAATTAGTAATATAAAAAATATTTATTAATTGATATATAAAACAAAATAATTTTTCTAAAATTCAACCACAAATTAGCTTTTATTATGAGTTTCTTAATAAAATTAAATCTAATTAGACAAGGATATATTTAAAGAAAATAAAATAATTTCTCTAAAACTTTATCACAAATTACTTATTTTATTCTCAATTAAACTCTATCATACTAGGCAAAGATATATTTAAACAGTTTATATAAAACTCTAACACAAATTACTTATTTATCTATTTATTCTGAGTTTTTTAACAAAAGGAAATAATTAGACAAGTATTATTAATATAAAAAATTATTTTTTAATTGATATAAAAAGAAATTTTAAAAGAGTTTCTATAAAACTCTAACACAAATTACTTATTTATCTATTTATTACGAGTTTTTTTTTTAATAAAAGTAAATCTAATTAGACAAGAATTATTAAAATAAAAAATATTTATTAATTAAGAATTACCTAATAAAATAATGCAACGTGTTTCAGTATTTCAGTATTTATTTATTTATATAAAAAAATATTTATTAATTGATATAAAAATAATTTCTATAAAACTCTAAAAATTACCTAATAAAATCAATCACATTCTATATAAAACTCTTATTTTTAGTTCAATATAAAAAGAATAGTTATTTTTTTATAGATAATTATCACAATATAATCGGCCCGGCCCAGTTATAATTATTTAATTATCAGAAAATAACACATGCCATCATCCTACTAATCCAAGAATCCTATAAATAGAGGATGGAGGAAGGAGGAAGGGGTGTAGAAATTAAAAATTCTAAAAATCCAGAATTGTAGAGTAAAATACAGAAACTTTGCCAAAAAGTTTCAGTATTTTAGTATTTATTTATTTATATAAAAAAATATTTATTAATTGATATAAAAAGAGTTTTTATCTATACTATTATTAGATGTGCAAAGAGTTTCAGTATTTAAGTATTTATTTATTTATATAAAAAAAATATTTAAAAAACTAAAATCTAAATAGTAAAATTTAAACTAACCTATTTATCTATTTATTATTAAAAAAAATTTAATAAAAGAAAATCTAATTAGACAATAATTATTAATGTAAAAAAAATTTATTAATTGATATATAAAACAAAATAATTTTTCTAAAACTCTACCACAAATTAGCTTTTATTATGAATTTCTTAGTAAAATTAAATCTAATTAGACAATGATATATTTAAAGAAAATAAAATAATTTATATAAAACTCTATCACAAATTACATATTTTATTTTTTATAAAATCCTATCACACTAGACAAAGATATATTTAAAGAGTTTCTATAAAACTACACAAATTACCGTTTTTTAATAAAAAAAAATCTAATTAGGCAAGTATTATTAATATTAAAAATTATTTATTAATTGATATAAAAAGAGGTTTTAGAAGAGTTTCAATAAAACTTTAACACAAATTACCTATTTATCTATTTATTATGAGTTTTTTAATAAAATGAAATCTAATTAGACAAGTATTATTAATATTAAAAAATATTTATTAATTGATATAAAAAGAGGTTTTAAAAGAGTTTCTATAAAACTCTAACACAAATTACCTATTTATCTATTTATTATGAGTATTTTTTAATAAAAGTAAATCTAATTAGACAATAATTATTAAAATAAAAAATATTTATTAATTGCAAAATTACCTAATAATATCAATCACATTCTATATAAAACCCTTATTTTTAGTTTAATATAAAAAGAATAGTTATTTTTTTATGGATAATTATCACAATATAATCGGTCCGCCGTGTTATGATTATGTCATTAAAAAAGGACACGTGTCATAATCTTATTAATCCAAAAAGTCTATAAATAGTGGCATGGAGGAAGGAGTACATAAATTGAGAATTCTAAAAATCTAGAATTACAGAGTAAAATACAGAAACTCTGCCAAAGAACTTCAATATTTATTAAAAAGAGTTTTTATCTATACTATTATTAGATGTGTAAAGAGTTTGAGTATTTATTTATTCGTATAAAAAAATATATAAACACTAAAATCTACATAATAAAGAGTTTCTATAAACTCTAACACAAATTACCTATTTATCTATTTATTATGAGTTTTTTAATAAAAGAAAATCTAATTAGACAAGTATTACTAATTTAAAAAATTATTTATTAATTGATATAAAAATACATTCAAAAGAGTTTCTATAAAAAAACTCTAACACAAATTACCAATTTATCTATTTATTATGAATTTTTTAATTAAAGTAAATCTAACTAGACAAGAATTATTAAAATAAAAATATTTATTAATTGATATAAAAAGAATTTTTAAAAGAGTTTATATTAAACTTTAACACAAATTACTAATTCATTTATTTATTATAAGTTTTTTAATAAAAGAAATTCTAATTAGACAAGAATTATTAATATAAAAAATATTTTTTAATTGATATAAAAAATAAAATAATTTTTCTAAAACTCTATCACAAACTTCTTTTTATAATGATTTTTTTTTTAATAAAAGCTAATCTAATTTGACAAGAATTATTAGAATTTAAAAATATATATTAATTGATAAAAAAAGAGTTTTTAAAAGAGTTTCTATTAAACTCTAACACAAATTACTTATTTATTTATTCATTGTAAGTTTTTTAATAAAAGAAAATCTAATCAGACTAAAAAAACTCTACCACAAATTACCTATTTTATTTTTAATAAAATTATAATACAATAGACAAAGATATATTTTAAGATTTTCTATAAAAACTCTAATACAAATTACCTATTTATCTATTTATTTTGAGTTTTTTAATAAAAAGAAGTCTTATTAGAAAAGTATTGTTAGTATAAAAAATTATTTATTAATTGATATAAAAAGAGGTTTTGAAAAGAGTTTCTATAAAACTGTAACACAAATTAACTATTTATTTATTTATTAATATCTAATTAGACAAGAATTATTAATATAAAAAATATTTATTAATTGATATAAAAAGAGTTTTTAAAAGAGTTTCTATAAAATTCTAACTTATATTACCCATTTATCTATTTATTATGAGTTTTTTTTAATAAAAGAAAATATAATTAAACAATAATATATTTAAAGAAAATAAAATAATTTTTATAAAATCTACCACAAATTGGCTATTTTATTTTCTATAAAACTCTATCACATTATCTGCAAAACATTCAACACGTGCATCGCGCGTGCCTTTTCCTAGTATATATATATATATATATATATATATATATATGTCGTGTCTGTATCCTATTTTTTTTGGATTTGTCATGTCGCCGTGTCCGTGTCTGTGTCGTATTTGTGCCCCGTATTCGTGTCCGTGCTTCTTAGATCCTTACTATAGATTATATAATGAATCTCCAAACAGTCAAATAGTTTAACGGATTTTCCAAAAATAAGAGTGCCCTTATTTGGTGTGCAGGAATGAAATAGAATGGGAATGGAATGAAGCTCAGAATGGAATGTGAATGCCCATTCCATTCTAGTATTTGGTTACAAACATGGAATGCTGTAAATATGGAATAATAATTCTCATACATGTGTTTGGTTGAACCTATTTAAAAACTGGAATGGAATTAATTTACATTGATATCTCAAAATTACACTTTATCATGAATAAAGAAATTAAACTTGAAAAAAATAAATAAATAAATTTAACAAAAAAATTAACGTCAGAAATAAATTTGGGGCAAGCAAGGCGTTGAAGATGAGGGCAAGGAGGTGTCTCCGGCGGCCGTGATGAGATAGGGAGTAGTGAGAGAGGGAGACGAATCTGAAATAAGGGCTAGCGTATACAAATACATGCACCTCCATTGAAATTTAAATCTGAAAATTTCTAGACTTTTCGTCCAAAGACATATAAACCGGTTAAATAATACAATTTTGAATTGTTTTGGTGACATATGCAGGCTTCCATCTCTGTATATGCATCTATAATCAGTAAGAAGACAGTGGGACCCAGTTGAAAGAAATGTTTTCTTCTCTCCTCCTCCGTCATTCTTCTCTTCAATTTTTCCCCCTCTTACTCTCTCTCCCCTCACTTCACGAATTGGGTAGTTCAAGTTTTTCGATTCTTTGCTTTCTAGATAGAGAAAGAAACTCAGAAACTCTCTGTTGGATTTGGGGTTGCTAAATTGATGGTGTTCTTTGCTGAAGAAGAATCTGTCTCCGGCGGATGGGTTGAGTTGTGTTGTCTTGTGGTCTCTGGCAGCGATTGTGAGATAAGGGGTAGTGAGAGAGGAAGATGGAGGAAAACGAATTTGTCCGGCGGCGGAAGAAGACAGCGAAGGGAGACAACGAATAGATTGGAAGAGAACAGAGATGGGTTTGGTTTAGAAAAGGGATGATGATGGGTTTGGTTTAGAAGATGGAAGAAGACGAATCTGTCTCCGGCGGTGTAGGAAGACAGCGAAGGGAGACGACGAATAGGTTGGAAGATGTCGATGGGTTGGAAGAGAACAGAGATGGGGTTGGCTTAGAAAAGGGATGTTGAATAGGTTTTTTTGTTATAACTTTTTTAATCGTATTCCATGTGGGAATGGAATGCCCATTCCATTGGTAAAGAAAATGAATGATTATGGTGGAATGACCATTCTTCAAGAATAGTGGAGAATGATGATTCCACCTTTAATAGCTCACACCAAATACAAGAATGGAAAGAAAAGTATTCCATTCCCTCCGATTTGATTCCATTCATCCACACCAAACGTGGCCTTAGAACCCATGAGTGCTTGAAACAAAATCCAGTGAAAACACATTTGAGACTGGACACTGGAGTGCAGAAATTTTTACTATTAGGAGGATCCAAGGTTTCATGCATGTTCGAGACACACACAAAATCAAAAGAGCTAGTGCAAAAAGTCCAGTTTCAGAAAAATAAAAGTTTGTTCTTGAGAAGCTAAAAAGTTCGGGAATGAAGAATGCAGTACAACAAGCATATTCAAAAAAATATTTCTCGAATAAATGAGGATGTTTCAAGCATTTTATGGATAATCCATCTAAACATTCTGGATATCATTATATGTAGGCTAGAAGCATAGACACGCCTAAAAGGGCAAAGAATTCGTGTCGGACACCGACACACGCCGAACATGCCTCGACACGTGTCGGACACGCCAAAAAACGTGTCCGAATATTTTATATTTTCTTGATTATGGATAATCCATCTAAACATTCTGGATATCATTATATGTAGGCTAGAAGCATAGACACGCCTAAAAGGGCAAAGAATCTGTGTCGGACACCGACACACGCCGAACATGCCTCGACACGTGTCGGACACGCCAAAAAACGTGTCTGAATATTTTATATTTTCTTGATTATCCAGACATTGTCCGACATATGCATCCCATTCTTGGGGATTTTAAAGAAAGTTTTAGAAACAATGTTGAGTTGAAGTATAAATATTAGGAGTTGCTTAATAACTTTCAATAATATGATGATAATTACATAATTACTTAAAAGTTATTGTTTTATAAAACAATTTTATATAGAACAATTAGATATTTATCCTTATATTTTAGTTCAAGGTTCAAACTCTTGCACAATCATCTTTGACTCTCTTGTTCTCCCACCAACCAAGCTTCGCTACCGGTGGATGGTCATTCTATCTCTCTTCTCTTTTCTCTCTTCTTCTTCATCCTCCTCTTTTCTTTCTTCTTCTTGTTCTTCACAAGATACTTCTTTTTTTCCTTTCACAATAAAATTTATGTTTGCGTTTCTTTTTCCTTTTTCCTCTATTCCCCATGAACTTTGTTCTCTTCTATAGATTCTTACCTTTATTTTTAACTAAGGCCTAATTCTTATTCTAACAAAAAACTTATTCTCTTTGTTTCTTTGCTATTTTTTCCCTTTCTTTACCCTCTTTCTATCATTCTTTCTTTTTCCCAGCAAAACACAATTTTTTTTCATTAAACTAATATTACTCTTAATTTCTTAAAGTACAACATCATATATATATATATATATATATAGATATATATAATATATTTATTATTTGCCGTGTCCGTGTCCGTGTCCTAATTTTTCTGGATTTGCCGTGTCCCGTATCCGTTTCTGTGCTTCTTAGTCTGTAGGAAAGTTCTTCTCTCTCAAAATATTTATTTGTCTTGGTGGAAGCAGATAAATTGTAATTCAAATTTTTATCAGTGCTGAACCTCATTATAATCTGTGAACTTACAGACAACAGGGTTCAGAATATTTTCCTCCACGGATTCAAAGGAACTCCCATAACAAATCGTGTTAAACAATTTCCATAATATAAAGTTGCTAACATATCCAACAATGACGATGACAACTAAAGTAATCACTCTACAGAAATAGTGAATGTTTGAGCCCAAATTTTCCCCTCCATTCATCAACTTGTCAAACTCTCAAAGAAACTTGTGACTAAAATCCAAAATGAAAACAATCCTTACCCCATCTTTTATAAATTAAATCCAAGCACATAATGACAACCATGTCAACTGAATAAAATATCAGTCATCATTAAATAGTAAGTAAACAAAGATGTAAATCAAAGTGAAAACTTGCAACCATAGAACAACTTTCATGCACTAGATCTAGTTCATCATTCATTTCATCAATTAACTGGATCATTGACACACAAAATTATGACTGTGGTGTAGAAGAACATCATATTGTCAATGAGAAGAAAAGCATAAAATCATTGAGATATGTCTACGTTCTACAGTATAAACTTAATCCATGGTCCACCACAAATTTCTATGGAATTTGGAGCTCCTGTATTTCTTAAGAGAGTTTCTTAATTTGCAAGCCATTAATTTGCAAGCCATTAGTTCAGTCAAAACTTACAGTACATAATTACCTAAAAAAGCTGAAAAAGATATCTATCTTCCAAGAAGCGCAATTCAAGAAACCTCGTGCAACAAAACTGAGAAATAATAATATAAGAAATCTAGAGTTCATAAAATTTGCATACCACATGCCAATCGTCCACCCGCATTGCCGGTGCTAAGACTAAGTTCATGACCACCTACAGATGAAAAAGAAAAGAGAGTGTGTGAGAGAGAAAATGTAATGTGTGTGTGTGTAGCAAAATTAATACGCATGTGAAAGGAAGTATTTTCACACGCATTGTGGTGAAAATAAGTTCCGTATGCTTGCAAGAACACTTCAAACCAACAACTACAGTAAAAATTTGCATAAAAAATTCAAACCAATAATTATAAAGGTGTACCCTTTCCAAGGTCATCTACAAGCTCATGAACCACAAAGGCTCTTCCGACGACTGAATTAGGCCCACTCAGTGGAATCTGCAAATCTCAATCACAATTAAGTAACAAGATTCCCAAGGAATAACAAAAATTTCTAAAAAGAATCATTGTTACATGCAGACACATGTGGTACCTGTTTGTCCACAATTGTTGCCTCGGCCACCCCTGTATTACATGAAACCAAAATTAAAAACAAAACTACAGTTAAAACTGATGGTTGGAAACATACAAACAACTATGAGAAATTATATATATATATATAAAACACACACACACCCCCAATTACCATCGGCATTAGCAACTATGTTTCCCAGGTCACCCGCATGGCGAATTTCATCTTCAGGAGCACCATGTGTCAAACCATTAGGATTGAAATGTGGTCCTGCAATATAAAAATTGGGAGAAAAACCACAGTTTAACACCAAATGAAACCACACAGAATAGAATTGAACAGAATGATAAGCAATATGTCAACAATTCAAGCACATATTCAATCAAATCTAACCTGTTGATATGCACCCATTTGTCGTATCACCAAATTCATGCTACACAATAACAAAAATTCAATATTTAGAGGGAAAATGTACCATCAACGAATTTTCAAAATAAAAAATAAACAAATTGACAATACTCACTAGGTGAAACCCATGAGGCCCAGGAGTGAGTCCAGTGATTTTAACAGTCACCTTAGTAGGACCTGTTAAAAGCAATCAAGTTCCAATTTTCTCGATTACAGCTCAATTATACATATACATTACATAATACAGCAATTACATAGGGGAAAGAAGTAGATGAAGAGCAGACCATCATCATCTTGGATGAGATTGACAACCCCTTCGACATTGGAGGTGCCCTTGAGGACGGCGACTGCTTTCTTGGTGGCGGCGACGACAGTGAGGGGCTTAGGGGCGGCAGAGGCGGTGGCGGAGAGGGTTAGGGATTGGATGGTGGGTTTGAAAGAGAGGCCGTGGAATGAAGAGCGGAGGAGTGATGGGTTGTTAGGGTTAGGGTTTGAGATGGGAAATAAAAGAAAAGAGTGAGATGGGTTGGTGGAGAGGATGGTGTGAGCGGCCATAGCTGCTAGTGCGGCTTGCATCGCTTGGGAGTGAGGATGAGGTGATAATATGTGAGAGTGCTCTTTTGGATATTATTTACAGTAGTATTTTATTTTGATGCTTTGTTTTGTTTGGACTAGGAAAAATTTTTAGAAATAAAAAAATAAATTGATTTCAATTCTTTATTCAGATGATTGATCAGTATTTTAGTTAACAAAGTTATGCTGTTGAATTGTCATAGAAATATAAGGCTATGTTTGGTAGGGTGGGTTTGAAAGGGAAGGATAAGATTAGTTATGAGGGAAATGGAAGGAAAGGGAAGGGAAGGGAAGCATAATTTTAATTTAGTATTGTGTTTGGTTGATTAAGGAAGGAAAAGGAAGGGAAGGATAATAATTATGTTTGGGGAAAGAAAGGAAAGGAAAGTATTTCGGTAAATTTACTATTATACCCTTTTATAATTTAAAATAAAAATTAATAACTTAAGTATGTAATATTTGTAAAAAAAAAATAAATAAATAAATAAAAGAAAAAGAAAAAGAAAAGAAAAATATTAATATAAATATAATATTTTTAGGGTCATCATTTTAGGGTCCCCGCCTCCATCTCTATTCTCGTTCTCTCTCTGCAACACTCTCTCTCTTTTGCAACTGCAAACCACAAAACTACAACAATCCAAGTTCCAAACCCATATGTTTATCTATCATTTGCAAGAATCAAAGGTTCAAAACCCATATCCGCATATTGTTTCAGATTGTTCCAAAAATCAAAACCCATATCTTTCAGTTTCTCTTGCCCGCTGTTCTAGTTTGGGTTCGCCGTTTCCATCGCCGGTTGTTCCAGTTCGGGTTCGCTGTACGCAAGTTTCAGCCGCTGTAAGCTTCCCCCCTCTCTTTCTCGTGCAATGGCTAACTTATATGTACGGGTTTTGTTTTGCTAAATCAACCAATTAAGGTCTGTAATTCTTGTTTTGCTTAACTAAATCCTTGATTTTGTGTGGGTAAAATTGGCATCACGATTATCACATGTGCCATTGCCTTCCTTTTCCTTCCGTTTCCGCCCATTTTTGAGAGGTTAACAAATCTACTGTTCAAGCCTTGCCTTAACCCTCCAAACCCTTCCCTCTCCTTTCCTTCCCTTCCACCAATTTTACCCAAACACAATTTTTTTATAACCTTCCATCACCTTCCCTTCCCTTTCCCTTCAAACCCACTCTACCAAACTGAGCCTAAAGGTAAACTTGCGCTCAAACTCATTTCTTTAAAAAAAACAAAATGGATTTACATGATTGTTCTCACATTAACCAAATTTTTATGTGAAAAGTTGAGAGTATAATCTATTTACTTGATCCAAGGTCGGAGTTAAAAATTGTAAATGGGATTGGGTTAATATTTTTTAGGTGAATTAATACTAATAACAAATTTTTTTCTTTTGGATTGAACTAAAATTACTTATAATAAAAATTCATTTATTTATTTTGGATGAATTTGAGCCCACCAAAAAGATCCGCCCTTGACTTGAACTCCTCAAATTTTCACTAAAAATTTGGGTAAATAAAACTGACAATCTATTGACTTGCCCTTTGTTGGATTACGTTAGTATTGTGGTTTAATCATTTACCGCGACAGAGGGAGGAACAAGTTACTTGGGGAGAGATAGAGAATGAATAATAAAGAGGAGCACTTTTGTCTTTTACGTTTATAAATATTTTTGCATTAAACTAGATTTAAAAAAATAGGGTTATATGAGTCAATTTGCATTTGTCAAAGTACAAAAAGTAATTTGAGATGTAAGTCAAAATTAAAATTAAGATTTTTATCAAGATGAGATTTGATCTAACATGAAAGGATGTTAGTGTAATTAACTCTAAAAAAAAAATTAGTTTCATGATGTTAGTATCAAATAAAGGTGACTAGCAATGACCATGACATAATAAGAATACACTTAGATAAATTTAAAACTCAAAGGAGGTAAATGAATTTTTTTTTTAAATTAGATTGGAGTTGTGTTTGATTATGTAATTTTTTAAATTAGATGGCAGTTATGTTTGATTATGTTTAGTATAAAGAGAGTTCAGTGTAATTTGTCTAAAAATCTTTTGTGATTCATACTAGGTTTTGAGGGTTAAATACATTGGCTTCTTGCTTAGACAGGAGGAAAAAAAAAAAAAAAAAGAGGATAATATTTAGTTACTCGCCGGTGAGTAGCCACACCCTACTCACTCCTTATATGCTCCAATAAAAAAATAGCACATCAGGTTTAATAATAAAATCAGCAAAATACTAAAAAAAAAAAATGAGACGAAAGTCGGATCGACCCATTTTAATTGAGTAATCACCCTTTCTCTGTTCTCTCTCTTTCATTGATTCACAATCCCATGCCCTCCTCTCTCCACTGTTTTTAAAAGAGAAAAGTAAAGAAGAACAGTGGAGAGAGGAGAGCGTGGGTTTAGAAATCGATGAAAGAAAGAGAGAAACGAGAAAGGGTTTTTACCCAATTAAAATGAGTCGATACGACTTTCTTTTTTTTTTTATTATTATTTTACTTATTTTGTTATTAAAATTGATGTGTTATTTTTTTATTGGAATAGGGGTGAGTAAAGTGAAGTTATTCACCAGTGAGTAGCTAAGCATTGTTCAAAAAAAAAAATTTGACTTTCTTGAGATTTGCTATAATTACGCATCCGAAGAAAGTGTTTAAAAATCTTGGACGATGTGGTTAGTCATTTGCTACAAATACCTGAGTAAATAAAATAAATCTCATAATTTTCTCAATTTTTTTTTTTTCACATGAAAGATCTTATCAGGACCTTGGATTGACACCATATCAAGGAATGCATATCCACCCATTTATACCTATTTCATTTTCCATCCAAATTTAATGCGGGACAAATACACCTTGCAACACTAATCCATTTCATTAACTCCATCTTATTTTTTATTATTCCATTTACATTTATATATAAATATATATAAAAAAAAAAAAAGCGTATATTCACAACAACAAAAAAATCAAACATTCTCATTCTCAAACACAGAGGGCAACTTTTCATTCTCATGATAGCCCATAAACGTATCACTTCAGTGACGTAGTCCCACTACTTCCCTCAGCCCTCACAATCACATATGCAGCCTCATATGATTCATATCAGGCCTCGCCTACTTGCAGGGAGATTGTGCCACGTCCACTGCTGCATAACATGAGGAGAGTAGAGTTTTAAGTCTTTTAAAGTTGTATATGTTGTGAAATGTAGGAAGAGTGGAGTTCAGAATATTTCAGAATTGTGTAGAGAATTGTGAAATGTAAGGAGAGTTTGAAAATTTTTATAGTGAAAACTTTTGTAAATATTTGTAGAGTGGAGAGAATATTTTAGAATACTATAGCGATTTTTAAAAGGGAAATAATTAGGAGATTTGTGTAAAAAAATTTAAACGGTGGACAGAGGTTATATAGAGGACCATGGTATAATTTATCAACAAGAAGCTTTATGAGTGAAACACCTTGCAAACAAATTCTTTGAGTGGGTATTCTTTGAGTGGGTGGAGCATAGTGAGTTTTTGAAATAGGATCCAAATTGGAGCATGGTAGAGTTTTTGAAGTCGAATTCAAATTGTAACATAGTAAAGTTTTTTTTACGTGGTAGGTATATGACTAGAAAACTCAGAAGGGAAGCCAATCTTAGCACTATCAGGGAAAAACACAAACCAAAATATGAGAAAAATGGTAAGAATGATACTTGTCAAATAAATGAGAAAAACGTAAACCCAACCCAATAAACCAACCCAATAAACCAAACATACCAAAGCAAGGACAAACCTATAAAGAATTAAATAAAAATATATTGAGTTGCAAGCTTTTGAAGAAAAAAAAATTAATTGAAAATTGTTATTATTTTCTAATAATAATTTCTTTATATGTTGTTGTGTCGGTGCTTTTTTAAAAGATTAAATGGTATCCAAATCGAATACCTACCAGAAGTTCAGTACAATTAAAAATAAAATAAAAAAAACAAAGAAACAACAATGATGGAGACCCGGACCACCGCCAACTCAGATGGTTCTGCCAGCCCCGCTATTATTGGAGCCACCAAAAGCCCTATTTTTCCTCCTGCAGCAGAGCAACTCTTGCAACTCCAGTACTGCATCCACTAACTCTTCTAAATCATATGCAAATCATAATTTTTATTTTTTCTTATTCTTCTATAGCAACAAACGCACAAGTTGTATTAGGGGCACGAATAAATTGAGTTGTAAGCTATAACTCAATTTATTTTCTATTTGATTGAGTACTTTCTAAAACGAAGATGGAATTAATTTATTTTTTATTTGATTCAGTACTTTCTAACACTTAGATGGAGTTAAGTTTTAGTATGGACAGAGAGAAATTTCAATTTAAAAACAGAGTAAACAAAACAAAATATAAAAGGAGCAGTTTCATAGTTGCACACTAAAAGAATACTTTGTTATATGTATTAAAACATATTTGAAAAGTGACATGGCATATTTTATTTTTTTTTTTTTCACCTGACAATAGTTAGTAAGGTTAGGAGTTAGTAGTTAATGGGAGAAGGGGAGGAGTTAGTAATTAGTGACATGGATGGTTCGAACATTGACACTCACGTTATCGTGAAAACTCGCACACCACCTCGACTACAAGGCACATCCTAAAACGGGATTAGTAGTGACATGGTATATATATATATTTTTTTGAAAGGTGTGACATGGTATATTCATGGAGCATAAACGGAGATAAATTAATCTATAAGGAGTAATATATTTTCATCAGATTGCGTTAAATCATTGTGAGTGATTGCTTCCTGAGTTGGATGACTTTACCGGATACCTCGTCCATTTTAAAATAATAATAATAATAAAATATATTTCTTTGTAGCGAACAAAAAAACGAAAAGGAAAAAACGTGTCGCTGGTTTCAACGGCCCGGTTACACCACACCAACATCGGTTACTGCTAACACAGGCGAGACGATACGAGAGACAGATTTTGGCTGTGTGTCCAAAACAACCACCAAACCCCGTCTCTCTCTCTCTCTCTCTGTAAACTTTCTCTATGTAAATCTGAATATCTACATGGAAGTCTAATCCACAACTTCATGGACAAACCCAGTCTCTCATCTGTGCGAGTCCTAATTCGTGCCCCCAATTCAACATCACCACCACTCACTCTCTCTCCTCCCTCCACAACCCCCTTTCTCACTCCTCCAATCCCTCCATCAGATCACCCCCTCCCACCGCTCCCTCCTCCCTCTTCAAACCCTCCTCCATCCTCCCCTCTACCACCACCACCGTCGTCGTCCCCGTCCCCACAAGGCGGCGTCGTTGTTGTCGGCTTCATAGGACGGCGGGACAGCGACGTCACTCAGCTAATCAATAGAATCATTGACTCCAATTTGTTTGGTTCGGGCAATTTCGACACCAATTTCTGTTTTCAGAAAGAGGGTATTGGTGAGGACGTGAAGGACTGGTTTAAACGTCGAAGAATTAGTTACTACCATGAGGATGAAAAGGGGATTCTGTACTTGCAATTTTCTTCCACCGGGTGTCCAGCAATGGAGGCGTTTTTAGAGTCCTCTTCAGGTTTTGATTCATTATTGGAAGACCACGAATTTGGGGATCTTAAAGGAATGCTATTCATGTTCTCCGTGAGTAGTTTACAAAATGTTGTTCTTTTATTTTTTATTTTTAATTTCAATTGTTTTGATTGTGGTTTTAGAATGTACTTAATATGACATGGGTTGGAAGAGGTAAATTTATTCAATTTTTTCCCCTTGAATTAAATTTGTTCAATTGATTTAATGTATATACCAAACTTGCTTCCCTTTTTTGTAATTTGCTTTTCTTATGCAAAGAATAAATGGCTGTTTTGGTTCATTCTATAGTAAGTTCCAAATTGCATCAAAGGTGAACTTTGCTTATGGGGTGATATGCATGGTGCAGTGGTTAGTTACATTCTAAATTGCAATCAGAGTTGAGCTTTGCTAATGGCTGATATGCATGATGCAGTAATTTATTAGTTTAGGTTGTGTCAGGCATCCTATAAAATTGGACCGATCCATTGTATTTTTTGGGTTTTAAAGTGAAGAATGGGTTACAAAACTGAACTAGCATTTGTGTTCCAATTAAACACCCTCAAATTTCCATGAAGGTGGAATCCATTGTGTAATACTCAAAATTGGAAGCAAATATCTGTCTGTCTATGCAGGCATGAGAAACTGGATCCAACAAGAAAATTGATGCTCTCTACGAGATCGAAGTGAGGTATTCTTGAGAGATACTATTAAATGTTAATTATCCCTTGTTATGAACTTATGACAACTGCTAATATTTATGATCATCGCTGCGAGAATGCTGTAATTAAACCATAAATCCTGTGTTTTTTGTTTTTTTTTTTTTTTTATATATATATGAAAAAAAGGAAGAGAAATTTAATTTTTACTGAATTTGAAGCATGTTTTTAGGCCGTTCCAACCTGGGACATAAATACTTGCATATCTTGCTAAGAAAAAAACTACATGCACATGGTTGTTTTGGCCAGGCAATCATCCATTGTAGTATGGTTCTGAAACTGAAATTACTTGATGGAAATCTATACTGCACTAGTTTTGTTGTCCATATTTATGTGAAAGCACTTTTCTATTTTGGGGGAAATTACATTGATCAAGAGTGGTCCATGGACATTTTTGTAACAAGCATATGTGCCAAAATGAAGTGTTTTGGTCTCTTAAATTTTAGTTCAGTATATTGCTTATTGTGTTTTAAATGAAAAGGGTGTAGACTTCTATAGTTGATAAATGACTCCACTAGCATTTAGCATTGCAGGTTTGCCATGTAATCATATTTATTCAGGAGGGATCAAGGTTTGATACACAGATATTGAAGAAGTTTCGAATTTTACAAGCTGCCAAACATGCGATGGTTCCATTTGCAAGATCTCGAGCTACGCCACCATCAACATCTAGGTCTCATTCTTTGTCGTTGTCACGGACTTCTGTATCAGGGAAATCTTCTAGCAATCCTTCTCCTGGAAGAAGTAGGGGCATCTTGAGTCGCAATGGCTCAGCAATTTCACTCATGTCGGGTTTAGGTTCTTACACCTCTTTGTTTCCTGGACAGTGTACTCCAGTTATACTTTTTGTTTTTCTTGATGATTTCTCAGACGTTAATTCTGGTTCTAATATAGAGGAGTCGTTGGAGACATCCCCATTGAATCAGTCTTCAAGTTTGAACAATTCAGCTAGGTCAAGCGTGCCGCTGAAAGGATCTGGTCCATTGGTTGTGCTAGCACGCCCTGTGAGTAGATCTGAAGGTGGATTCAGGAAAAAATTGCAGTCATCCCTTGAAGCACAAATACGTTTCTCGATTAAGAAATGTCGGATACTAACAGGTTCTGATACAAGTCATGCTGGGGCAAGAAGTGGGGGCATCTCAAATTCAGCACCTTTGTTTTCACTCGATGCATCAAAGGCTGTTGCATTGTTAGATAGATCTTCAAATCAGAGAGGCACATCTCTTGATTTTGCCACTGGGCTTGTGGAAGATGTTCTAAATGGAAAGGCAACCTCAGATTCGCTTTTGCTTGAAAGCCATAACCAGAGTGCAAACAAAGAAGACATTGTATCTTTAAAGGAGTTCATTTACAGGCAGTCTGATATTTTAAGAGGAAGAGGGGGATTGGTCACTAACGCCAACAGTGGCTCAGCTGCTGGTGTTGGTATGGTAGCTGTTGCTGCAGCAGCTGCTGCTGCCTCAGCTGCATCTGGAAAGACATTTACTACTCCTGAACTTCCTACTTTAGAGATCTGGTTATCTTCTAGTCAACTTATTCTACTTGGTGTTCTTTCTGCAAAACCCAGGTGTATAGATGAACCTGAAACCAGTAAAAGAAAACCACGTCAACGAAATCCTGTTGCGCCGCCTGTTGAAGGGATTGCTTCAAGAGGTGCAGATCCTCTAGAAATTGCTGTGTCTTGTTTGGAGAGTGGTGTGGGATTGAACACTAAATTCTCGACATTATGCTGCCAAAGGTCCCTTCCGGCTGCTAAGGAGATTTATTTAAATGAGTTGCCTGATTGTTATCCGACTACACAGCATGAAGCCCATTTGGAGAAGGCTTTGCGTGCTTTCAACTCAATGGTCAAGGGACCTGCAGTGCCACTTTTCATGAAAAAATTGGAGGATGAATGCACATCCATCTGGAGATCTGGGCGGCAACTGTGTGATGCAGTAAGTTTGACAGGAAAACCATGTATGCACCAGAGACATGATGTTGAAACTGGTAGTTTGCTTTCTGGGGATCAAGTCAAGCCACATGCTAGTGGATTTGTTTTTCTTCATGCTTGTGCTTGTGGCCGTTCACGGCAACTACGGTCTGACCCCTTTGATTTTGAAACAGCTAATATTACCAACAACTGTTTTCCAGACTGTGATAAGCCACTTCCTGCTCTCCAATTACCAAAGCTAAGGGATACAGCGCCTATTCAGCCATTGTCATGGAGTTTGATTCGAATTGGGGGTGCAAGGTACTATGAGCCTTCTAAAGGTTTACTTCAGAGTGGGTTCTGCGCCAGTCAGAAGTTCCTTTTGAAGTGGACAATTTTTCCCGAGCAACAAAAACACCCTAATTGTTCACCAGCAGGTTCTGTGCAACAAGATTCTGTAAATGGGTCAAATACTGATCCCAAGGTTGAATCAACTGCCACTGCTGACATAAAGAAAGTTGGTGCTTCTCCTTTATATAGAGAAGAAGTGCAGAGTGTGTTTGAAGTTGAAAGGAAGCTGCCCTCAGAAAATATCAAGTCTGATGATAAAAAGATCAGTTTTGGCAGAGGTTTTCCCAATTTTACGATGAGAAAGCCTTTTTCCGAGGTTGTTGCTGGATTAGCTGGTGCTGATTCGGGTTTCCCTCCTCTTCAGTCAAGGAAACAACCTTCACTAGGTTCAGAAAAGGGTATTAAGCAGAGTAATGCAAGACAGAGGGGTGTGGAAGAGGTCCATGAAGTTTCTGTTCATCAAGGATCTCAAAAACCTGAAGATTTCTCTGCTGTTCAGCAAACTGTAGATGGGAATGGGATTGATGTCAATGACAGTACAGGCAGTAATCCAATTTTACAAATAGGTAGCAATGTTATTCCGGTGAACTTGAATAGTGGTGAAAAGATCAAACCAAACAATTCTTTGAAGCATGTAACAGTGTATCTTGGGTTTGAGCATGAGTGCTCCCATGGCCATCGGTTCATATTGAGTCCTGAGCATCTCCGTGAACTTGGCTCTCCATATTCAGTTCCCGAAGAATCTCATACTTCCTCATCTGTGGAAAACTCTGACAATAAAGTGGCAGATTCTTCAAAATTGGGTAAGAATGGTAGGCATGGCAAAGCCCATCGACACTCAAATGGAATGATTTCTGCTTCTATTAGTAAGGTGAAACAGTTGGATAAGTCGAAAGAGATAGCAGCTAATGGTAATCTGTGTTTAGATGGGATGATACATTCCTCCAGGCCAGGAAAAGAACAGAACCAGACAAGTTCTGGCATGTCGTTACTTAGTGATTCTTTAAAGGATCTTGAAGCAAGCCTTCAATCTGTTACTCTTGATGATGGCGGAGGTGCTTTCTCTTTATTAAATAGAAATTTACCGATATACATGAACTGCCCGTACTGCAGGATCTCTAAGAATAAGGACACACCAAAGATAAAATTTGCTGGCACTATATCACAGCTTCAGAGGATCTTTCTGGTATGTTATCTTACTTACTAGCAGCTTTTTTCTTGCACCATATGTCATCTCATATATCTTCAGCATCTTTTTCTGCGTGTCATTCCATTGTTTGCTTATATTAGAGCACTAAAAAGGCAGTTTTATTTACTTCATGCGTTGTATTAGTAATTTAGTGTTACTATAATATTGTAATACCCTACTGAAATACATCTAAAAATTAGTTCAATTTTCATATCCAAATACTCAACTGAAAATTTTCCCTTTAGTGCTTAATTTTTCTCTATTACATGGCAAAGCTCCAATGACAATGAATTAGATTTCTTCAGTATTCGTAAATTGTGACAGGGAGCATCAAATATAATGAATTGGAAGGTAATATAATTAATATATATATATATATTTGTTTGTTTATCTATTTTCTGGGAAAAGGCAACAGTCACAGCATATTAAGACCCAATTTAACGGGTAAAACTTACTGTTAAATTCTTACTTGTTTGAATCTGTTGGACTCTTTCCAAATGCACCCTTTGTTTTATGTCCTATTCAGTTTGTATTTATGATTTCACAATGAAGTGAGAACATTAACATTATATTTGTCGGTGTTAAGGAGTAAGGGGCTATTCTGATTGTAGGTGCTTGTTTGCCTTTTTTTTTTCTTTTTCTTTTCTTTTTTTTTTTTGCCTTTATGTTGCTATTCTTTGTTGACAGTAATCCTCGGTTTTTTTAATTTTTTTTTTAATTTCTGCCTTTAACATCATATAATATCCATGGATTTTGCTGTGCAGGTTACACCTTCTTTCCCAATCATTTTAGCAACATGTCCAGTTATACAATTCGAGGTGCGTCTCAGTTCTTTGCTAGAATGTGCATTCATGACTTGTAGATTTGCCTTTGAAAATAAATAATAAATAAACTAATGGATTTGCCAGCCGTAAAAGTAGTAGCTAATTATTTCTCTCATTGAATAGTTTGAAGTAGTTCATTATTGCCCATTTTTAAGTTCTTGAGAGGATATTTATGACGATAGAACATTCAATTGTCATTTTTTTGTTGTGTTTTGCTCCCATGCATGTTTGTGTAGAGTTATGTATAACGTACTTCCTAATTTTCGGGCCAACATTTACTAAAATTTTCCCAGACGGCTTTGTATGTGTGTGTGTATGATAGTTGATTGGGTCTAAATTTTCACACGAGTACCATACTCGCACGCATTGACAGGCACGGACCCAATGTATGCCCGGTGGGGTCTATTGTCCCCATTGAAATTTTTATTTTTTTTAGTATTATACCTTAATGTTATTCATTCACAATTCTGCATTGTTAGTTTATTGGCTGAATAATTGGACTTACTGAAATGTTTATTTGAGTCCAACATGGTGGGTTGGGATTAACCCTACCCTTACCTTAATATCGTACTTAATGACTAAAAAGTTGGATCATCAGCAATTCTGCATTGTTAGTTGATCGGCTGAATATTTCACTTACTGAAATGTTTATTTCTGTTTTTGGTCCAACGTGGTGGACTAGGATCAACCCTACCCTTACCCTAATGTCGTAGTTGATGACCAAGAAGTTGGATCATCCACAATTCTGCATTGTTAGTTGATAGGCTGAATAGTTGGACTTACTAAAATATTTATTTGTGTTTTTGGTCAGGCTGGGATTAACCCTACACTTACCCTTAAAATCCCAACCAACGTCTATCTATGGAGATCTGAAAACATTGCACCTTCCCTAAGAGAGGAGCAAGAGATACCACACACACATACACACAGAGTTTTAACTGCATCTTCCCTTGAGGCAACATGATTCTCAAAAACTTGAGATTATTTTCTTCCACGTGGGTTTAAATTTTGGGATTGGAGAACCCCTGATTGGAATGAATTGAATAGCATGTCTATTACATTCTTTCATTCATTGTGGTTGTTTCACGGGTTTAAATGTTTTATTGTTTTATACACAATTTTGTTGTATTGTTTCGGTGTATGATCGTTGGTTCTTTTTCTTAAGAAATTGTGGCTTCTTTTCTTCCTTCTGATGAAACTGATTTTCTTGTTCAGACATCATGTTTACCTCCATCAATTCCAGACCGTGAACAAAAATTGCAATTCAGTCTTGGATGTGGAGTTATTTTGCCGCCAGAGAGTTTCCTTTCATTTAGACTCCCTTTTGTCTATGGCGTGCAACTGGAGGATGGTAGTGCATATCCTCTTAAACCTCTTGAGCATCAACCAGAACTGACTGCCTGGATTACCAAAGGCACAACATTGCAGGTCATGTCCAAGGGAAGCGGTCTTGATGAGGGAATTCTCAAATAGTGAGTACTCAAGTAATGAACCTTTGAATTTGGAAGTTGGTGACTGTTACTTCCATAATGAGCTTGCAGGCGATTATTGCGAACAGTTCATCCAGACGCAGGTAAGGTTTTATTGTTTTATGCATGCTGTAAGCTTTTTAAATCTTTAATTCATTCAATGTACTTGTTAATTTCACTTATTTTTAGCTTCTTTTATAAGTTTACCTGTTGGTTTTCCTTCCCCCTTATTTCTTAAATTTCTCTCTTCTGTAAATGTTCCAGGCTGTAGACTTGCAGCTGGATTTCAATGTTAGCCAATTTTCTTGTGTGAGTTCATGCAGTACAGCTTTGGTGAAATCATTTGTAAGTTAAAAAGAAAAAAGTAAGTTAAATATCAATGACCACAAGAAACGCCAAATATGTATGAAATAATTTTATTTTTGGTTCAACTGTACAGTAGCTTGAAAAGATTGGCCATCTTGTCGACGTTACAATAGAATTGTGGTCGGTTGGGTGGTGTCTCTGCCTCCATGCTTATGTATAAAAGTTTGCGTCCTTTCATGTGCATTAGCTTCCTCCCCCATATTTCCCTCAATTTCTTGCTCTTTCTTACATTTATCAGTATTGTCCGAAAGTAGCCCCTTAAACTGCCTCTACTTCTTTCTGTGTGTTGCTTGTTTAAAATTCCAAAAATGATGGACATTGACTGTTTAAGGGACTTGGTCATAAGTTACATTTGGGACTTTGGTAAGTGAACCTACTTTCCTGACTTGTTTGTTGTTCAAACATGAGCTATTAAAGTTATAAAATTAGTAAGTGTGAGGCTAGAAAGACCATAGCAAGGGTTGATATTTCACGTTTGATCTTTTGGCGGAGTATGACCGGCCCCTTTTAGAATTATTAGAATTTGAATCATACATATATGCACGTAGGCGGTACTCCAAGAAGGTCTTCTGTAGTACAATCCAGATTAAAGTTACGTTTCGTAGTTTTGATCCACCGAGGGGAATGATTTATGGAAATCAATTGCAGTTCAAGGAATTTTAGTTTGAAGATATGAATTACAGGCAATATTGAATTTGGATAAAAAATTGTTCCCCCCGCCCCCCCCCCCCCCCCCCCCCCCCGGCGCGGCCCAAAATACTGCAACAATAGGAAAATATTAATTAATGTTTAATAGGGTAGGGGAAGCAGAGGAAGTACACTGCATTATTTGAGCATAGAAGAAAGAGGATACTGTAGATATGAAATTAATTCAATAAGTTCAAAACCAGACTGTATTTTCAAGGATACTTTGGTTGTTAGCTGGGAATATCTAAGCAGCATTTTCAAGCGTCTTACGTGCAGCTTTCAGCTGAAGTGCAGAACCAATAATAGAATGTTTATCTGATTTTGACTTTGTTTCTATAGATGGTTGAAAATTTTCAGTGGTAAAAAGGAATTCTTCTTCTTCTTCTTCTTCTTATTGTTATTTATTTTTGATGGAGACAGCGTCTTAAGCTGGACCTTTATGGGGAAGTCTCACCACTGTAACATGCCACTGTCTTTCCTCGTTGCTTTCTAGTACTTTTTTGTCATTGTCGTTATCAGAATGGATTTTTAGTTTGATATAAAGATGGACAACTGGTTCACTGGGCTTACCTGGTGGGCTAGATAAGGACAGGAAAGAGTATGCTTGTAAAATGCAATAATTCTTGTCAAAGATAATATTGATTGTGATGTTCTCAACACAAATTGTATGTGTGTGCAGGATACGGATTTTATTGTGTTCACATTTAATGCTTTTGGGGATTAATGAGCTGTAATTGGAGGATAAGAAGAATTAGAATGTTCAGCCATTTCCAGGTAGGTGTTTACTTTGTGTACTTTAATCACGTAAACAATTGAAATCTAATATGTTCAATCAATTAGATTTTAAGTCTCATTTACTGATGCATGTGATACAGTTACTAATAACACCAATAAATGGCTGGTGATAAAGTTGGTGGAGAACTTCATTTCTTTGTGGTATGCTTTCTGTATCCTTGTTTGCTTATCCTTCTCAGTTAATATATTCACTTATTCAGTCAAATAGATGGATGTATAGATATGCACAACAAAATTGATAGTGAGGTGTTGTGCATACAGGTTATTGAACTCAGCAAAGGCACTACTGACTGTACTGATAATCCAAAATCCAGAAAGTTTCCTGCAAATTTCTGGAAGATACGATTTCGTATCATCTGGATAATGTTCCTTCTTAAAAAATAAAAAAGGAATGGCACAAATGTTCATTTGGTTTGGTATTGAAGTTTTTCTCAAATTTCCTTGCACAGATATTAGCTGAGAGTGGTAAGCCAGTAATTCAGTTGTTTTCATTAGAGGAAAGAATGAGATGGAAACCACATGAAAGACCCTTGTCTTTGTCTAGAATCTTTAATATTTATCTCAACAAAACTTAGATTTCTTTTGATATGCTAACAGATTATAATTCACGTATTGACTGAGGGACTCCAGTTCCTAAATTGCACCATTGACTATCCAGGTAAGCACCAGAAAACGTTGATATCATTAGCCTCTGGCCAATTAGATGCCTTGGACAAGCAAATGGCAGCATTCAGTCTTCATTAGGACAGTAGTGCACTGTACATTCTCTTAGGGAAGTCAATAGATCATTCTAAAGGTGCATTCTTGGGCGAAATAAAATTGTGATTTTGGAGCAGGAAAAGTTATTTGATTATATTTCTGAGTTGCACAATAGGAAACCAAGTTACTCAGTTCTCTTACCACAAATGCCCACAATCCCCTAGGCCATCTGGCTTGGTCATGTTCCTTTGGACTTTTGGTAGGGTGGCTCCTCTGTTGTGGTAAACAAACAACTTTATGATCCAAGGAAAGAATGCACAGCAGTAATATATGTGTTAAAACGAAAACCCTAGTCCTGTGGATATTATAGTTTGTTTAAGAAATTACTAGAGGAAAGTGATGAGGGGAACGGTTAATTTGGTGGTGGAAACGGGCAATGGATGAGATGAAGTGCACCCAAGGATGAGATGAAGACTGATTTTGTTTTCCTCCCTCAATCTGCCCTTGCCTTCTTCCTTGACAAGTCATTGGGGCTCCTTTGTTCGTGTTCCACGAGTGAATTGCCAGGTGTCTCCTAGGAGGGCAGTCTACCACAAGATCTAGTTGGAGCCTGGAGCCAAAGCAATTGGAGCAGGAAGGGTGGAAGAACTGCTGGAAGTAATCCGTGATATGAAGTACTTCTCCTGCTATAGGGTAAGGAATGGATCTTCCAGAGATTTTTCTGGTAACAATTAAGCATTTGCATCTCATCAAGTGATGTGAATCTGACATTAGGCATGATTATGGTAACCCATAGCTGGATGACCTGCGTAGGAACTAGGAACACTTACCCTAGCCATAAGGTGAGATTCTCAATGCCTTGCTTGTTGAAGAAGACGAAGTGTTGGTTGAAGAAACACTTCCCATTATGGAATGAGTAATGAATCAAGCTACACCATTTAAGGAGAGACTCACTCTCTCTCATACTATTGAGGGGGGTAAGTTGCATGAATTTAGGGCAGACTCTCTTCTATTGGTGGAAGGTGATTTTCAGTTATTTCATATCGTTGGTTGTAATTGTTGGATCTAATTGTGGAGCTAATAGGGCTAGTCTCTAAATATATGAAAGTATAATGAGTGTGGGTGGATGGTATTTGAGATTAAGGCTTAGTGTAGCATGCTGATGCATTTTCTTTCCCCAGACTTACTAGTTTATTGATGTAGACTAAGATTTAAGTAAATACATGCTTCATTTTTATTTTTTTAAATATTAAAACGGTTTTTACCTAGTTGATCATTCTGTCTCTCACCATTTTGTTGCAGTTAAAACGGGAGTCTAAGATGCAATATCTATTTGATCCTGGTATATGGAACGAGGTCTGGTTGTTACTGCATGCATGCGGTTCAGGTCAAGTAAAGGAGTGCATTGAAAACTTATTTTTCCTGTTGGATGGAGGCTCTCGTGGCAGATGCTTGGACTGTTCCTTGAACTGAACCACATATTCCTACAAATTGCAAGGAACGTGAACTCTGGTTGCATAGCTGCCATGATCATAAATGTATATAGAAAGAAGAAGTTAACGATGATGGTTCCTGGTCTAGTTTGCTGGACCATGTTTTATAAATTTTCTTGACATTTTTTTGTTTTGTTCTTTTTGTTTATTTCTGAGTGATGAATCCTCCTTTGTACTCTTATCGTTTTTCGTTTCGCCCCCTTCTCCTTTGAGAGTGTTGTACCCTGATTCAGGTCAATTTACAACAGTAGACCACTTGGGCAAAGTTTGCATTACATGATGTTCTTATGATTTGTGGCTAATTTGGAGAATATGTGATGAAATGCTAACAAAGTCATCTTAATAAAAGTTTTTTGGATGCCTCTTGTCATAAAAAAATTAAATAAAAAAAAAATTGTTCTTTTAATTCTCTGGATGTTGGTAGGTAGTGTATATATGACCCATACTAACTTGAACTTTGTATTACATGAAGGAATGGGCGTGAAGCTTTTTTCAATTGTGGGATAACAAATGACATTGAAGGGCTTGCTGATGTGTTCTTTAACACGACCGGATAAGATCATCAGTGTTGATCCTTTCTGGATAGTGTGGGTCTGTGCGTGTGCGTGTGTGTGCGTGGGGGGGTTGTTGAAAGTGGTTGGTAGTGGTTTGGTACCTACAGCTCCTTCTTGTTTAGAATTCAAGAGATCCTTAGAATTCGGATATTTTTTTTAAGCTGGTTTAGTAAATCAGAGTCCAAGTCTCAACATTCTTTCAGACTCATTTAATAGGATTTGTCGGTCTTGTAAATGTGTTTCTTATTTTTAGTTATCAAATCATCCCATGCATCATTTTCACTATTAAGAACAAGCAAAAGTACATTACAGCTAGTGCTATCTGTGGTGACTGTAGAAATCTTGTGAGGCTTGTGCATTCCAGTATTGTGCTTAGTATTCTTGTTGCAACAATCTTATAAAGAGAGAAAAAAAATAAAATAAAATAAAAAATGTCATATTTGCTACTAAAAAGTATACAATATCCCATAACTTTATACGAGAAATTAGTAGTTAAAAAAAAATAATAAATAAATAAAAGATGTTCATGCGTGAATACCACCGGTGAAGAAGATATTGCAATACTCTCATTTGCGACGACCAGTACCTATTCTCATTCTCCTTCCCCACCCCCCCCCCCCCCCCCCTCTCTCTCTCTCTCTCTCTCACACACACACACACACACACACACACAAACTTTGATTTTTTACTTTTTGGATGGAACTTGTCACATGCAGGCAAATGCTTTTGTCAAAAAAAAAAAAAAAGTTATGGAGTTTTGAAGGCAGTGGTCCCAACAATCATGTGATGGGATGATCCCCACCGCTGATTGGTTAGCTGGCACATATACGAGAACCAGTCCGGTAGTGTTTTATGAAATTATGAGGCACGTATAAGTAGGTCCTACCTCCCACTTCAGACAGCACAATTCATCCCACTTGAAAATCAATTTGTATACTGCTTTTTTGTCTGTTTTTTCTCTTACCATGGAATCTATCCATTTCATGATAGACTCATTTATGTTTTTGTTTGGTCAAATACAATTTTTTTTTTTTTTCTTTTTAAATAGACATGTACGGGTTTTAAGTTTGATGATATGGAAATAAGAAAGGAAAGAAAAAAAAAATAAATAAATAATAATAATAATAGAACGAATGAAAAGAAAAATAATTTTTTAACATACATTTCCTTAGCAAGTAAATAAACTAATATAAATAAGTGAAGAAAATTATCAATCATAAAAAATACTGTACAAGAGAATTAAGACTCGAAACCGAAATGATAGTAAAGGAGAGACAAACCCACTCCTATACTGTCACATCATCCCACAACTATGTGACGTGTCCGTATGCAGAACACACACGTGTCAGTTTCACATTATTTTGGAGGTGAACGCTTAGCTGGCTTTACAGGCACGGATGGTCCACGAACCACTCCTTCGCTTTACAACACCAACCACAACTTCCCACTGTGGATCTCATCAATTCAAAGTCAGTTCTCTTTTCCTTAAATATATACACATACATGTATAGTGTATAGTCACACATACTCTATATATACACACGTTATAATTCATTAAGCTATAATTGATGGTTATCAGAGGATTATAATATATTATAAAAAATATATTTGAATATTAGTTTAGCTAATTTTATTCATATATATATATATATATTTTTAATGTACACATCAATTAGTGATTTTCACTTGGACCAATAATTTCTCACTTTTTCAGTCGGGTACATCTAATAATTTGTCATACTCGGTAGGGGTAACCGGAAACCGGCTATAGCAAGTCTCCAAAGGCCTCAGGCTTTTCAAATATAAGTGACCACTCAATCGCATGTACACACTACTTTGCAACTGTGACACTCGCACTGCGACACGCTTGCTCTATCTCCACCGTCCGATTATCAAATATCCGGCGATGCCTATCCGTCAGATAGCGATCGGACACCCCCATGAGACCTACCACCCGGACGCGCTCAGGGCGGCGTTGGCTGAGTTCATCAGCACACTCATTTTCGTCTTCGCCGGCGAGGGTTCCGGCATGGCGTTCAACAAGCTGACTGACAACGGTTCCACCACTCCGGCGGGGCTCGTTGCTGCCGCATTGGCCCACGCATTCGGCCTGTTCGTGGCGGTTTCCGTCGGAGCCAATATCTCCGGCGGCCACGTGAACCCTGCCGTGACTTTCGGTGCCTTTCTCGGCGGCAACATTAGTCTTTTACGTGGGATTTTGTACTGGATTGCTCAGCTACTTGGTTCCACAGTTGCTTGCTTGCTCCTCAAGTTCGCAACTGGTGGCTTGGTAAGTATGTTACTCGTAGAAAGTTAGTTATTACAGTTACTTTAATCGTTATTTATACTAAATTCTTTTCATTTCTTTTAATATAATATTATGATTAAAATGACATGATACATGCCCAAATGCCCAATATGGCATAACTAACACCGTATAAATACACAAAATATTACTACTACAAATTCGGGCTGTTGATGCTTTGGTAACTGTACCTTATGGTCTCTAGCCGCTTAGAATATGAGAGATCGGATCCGTCAAGACGAAGTGAGTTTATTGCCAATATAAAAATAATAATAAATAAATAAAAATCGATATTTTTACCTTAATTTTCCACCAATGTATTATATTAAACCCAAAATTTTACAATTAAACCAAATAAACCTTAAAAGCAATACTACAAATATAGGGTACTATTATTTTAGAAGTTATTTTGGTTCATACTAATTTCTAGCAAAAGCATTCCAACTATGAATTTATAATGCCCCAAAATTTATTTATTTATTTATTTGCTAACTCAAAATAAATAAATAAAATTATGCAGACGACATCGGCATTTGCTTTGTCCACCGGAGTATCGGTATGGAACGCGTTCGTACTTGAGATCGTGATGACTTTCGGCCTCGTCTACACCGTCTACGCCACCGCAATCGATCCGAAGAAGGGTGAAATTGGGATAATTGCACCCATTGCAATTGGCTTCATCGTGGGAGCTAACATTCTTGCTGGTGGTGCCTTTGATGGTGCATCCATGAACCCAGCAGTGTCATTTGGGCCTGCTCTGGTCAGCTGGAACTGGACCAACCACTGGGTCTACTGGGCCGGGCCTCTTATTGGTGGTGGGCTCGCCGGGGTCCTGTACGAGATCTTCTTTATTAGTCACAACTCTCACGAGCCCTTGCCCTCCACAGAATATTAATGGAAGGTGAAGTGAAATGAAATGAAATTTCTGGCATGTAGTTGGTCTGGTCTAGTATGGAGTAACAAGGCTTTTCATTGTTTGTTTTTTTTTGGGTTTGAGGTCTTCTTTTTTTCTTTATGTTTCTTTCATTCATGCTAGTTCTTAATTTGGGGCGATTGATCTGTATCATCGGACCATCAATGTTACCCAAAAATCAATTGCTTTTAATTTCTTATTGCATTTCAATTTTTGTTATCGCTTGATCAATACGCACTGTTATTTTACAACTATTTTGTTATTTCTCCGTGACCCACGCTTAGAATATAATCGATTAGAATATAATTATTATTTTAGATGACCCAATTTTAAAGCCATTACAAGAAGTTGTTGGATGCCCACATCAATGAATGATTAGTGTTGTTTGTACTAACCGGTTAGGTAACACAAAGAAGAACAAAAGACATGAGAATCTGGTACTACTTAGCAGGACCATCAAAATGGGTGTTTTGGGTTGAATTATTTTTTCAGCAACTGATATTTATGAAAGTGATTTGAGCCCAGTGTGGCGTGGGCCAGTTGATCGGGTTTTTGTTAATAAGGAGCAACGGTGCAGCCCATACCATGTGGTGTGTAGTCTTGTGGGCCCGTTGATAGGGTATTGGTTAACAAAAGGCCATGGGGTACTAACTGCCTTTGTTCTTTTGATTATTGGACAGCCATGCTGGAAAGTGACCTCCACTTCTGGGTGTTTATCATCACATGGGTGTGTTCCAATATTTAAAAAATGAAAATAAAAATAAATAAATAAATATTTTTTAAATATATATATATATATATATATATATATATATATATATTAGATCATGAACTCACGTAGAAGAATTATTGAGAGGTTGTTGGCACTTATATATATTGATATCTTATAGTATTAAATGTTATATATATATTAACATTAAAAGATGATACGATAAGTCTCTGAATTTATACTGTAGTGTCACTGGACCATCAGTGAAATGACATTCTTTTTAATCATTCAACTAATTTTTCTTTCAAAAACATCATCTTCTCCTAATACATGTAATTTTTGAGGCATAATGTTGCATGTAATCAATTCTTTTCCTAGCTATATATGCACACAAATTAATGACAAACTAACCAGGTTCGACTAATGTAGATCAAAATTTTGGTCCCAACATTTATATATCTAAAGAAATCGAATGAGGTTGTGGATATGACTTCTACTATAGTCCAGAGAGAGAGAGAGAGAGAGAGAATGGAAAAAACAGAACAGTAACTATGAAATGATTTGTATACACAATTAAGTGATTCGGAATATCAACTTAGGCAAGACTACCCCTTTTTTGCCCTTGGCATGTATGCGTTCTTTCTGATCTATACAATATACAAACCTAGGATGGAATGAGGAGTTTGTTTCCTTCGTCTACTCCAAACTCCTTTTTTTTTTTCTCTTTTTTTTTTTTTTTTTTTCCCTTCTGTCATATTTTCCCACACATTCTTGTTCGTTCATGAAACTGCGTTCATTTTTGAAACCTTTTGATCAACAAGGAGTCATCTCACCATCCCAGCAACCCTCGGTGAACAAGAAGAAGCCGGTCCTCCTCGTGTCTGTCTGGTGTTGTAGGACTTGCATCTTAGGCATTTGTGTGCCACTATGTGGAAATGGACTTCAGATGTTGCGCCACAGTCGTTGCAGAGTATCCACACCTAATTATATACAAAGCCCCAACTTAGAAGACACATAGTAAAACTGGTCACCACATTTTTCATATTTAAAATCCCACATTACATACCATCTTGTTTTCGTATATTTCTGGCATTGGAGTGGAAGCAACCTGATTCAATTTTTCAGAAAAAGAAATTGATATCATGTCAGACATTTTTTTCAGAGGAATTAGCAAATTGTTACATTGAAACAAATAAAAAGAATTGGGAAAATACCTCTTGATCAAGCTTTTCCCACAAATTGGACATATCACAGACGGACTTTGAGCAAACGGGGCATGAATACCTGAAACATCATGTAACAAGATAGGACCAACTAGCTGAAGGATTACCAAAAGTAGAGCTGAAAAAATTGGAAATAGATCAATAACTCATGCGTGCTTTGACCAGAATATGATCGAGTAACGCATTTTACTATGTGATTGTATCCTGAATTCTTACCGGTAATGTTGCTCCATCTCTTTCACGCATTCAAAATGTATTGTGTGCCCACATGGTAAGACAGTGATATCTTTCATTGTGTCGAATAAAAACTGCAGATTTAAATGCAAGAACACCACCATTTTAGAATAAAAAATGCTTTTCTAGACTTCTTCTCAGTGAAAAAGATTTTGTTGGTATAGTCTCATTTTACCTCGAAACAAACAGGACAATTATGGTGCATCGCTCTTTCCACACAGTGGTGTGCATCCTTGATCAAATTCGAATAACAGCATCCTAGATCATGAATATTGAAAATCTCCAAAATCAGTTGTTGATAAAGAAAGATGACCCTTAACTGAATATTTCAGAAAAAAAAAACAAAAAAAAAAGAAGAGGAAATTAGCTTATCATACCACACTTGTCACAGTGAAAGAAATTCTCTTTGCCACCAATTCTGTAAAACAAAACAAATGGGACATGAAGTCAGACAAATGTTAAAAAAAAAATGTATATATATATATATATATAAACCTTGGTAAGAATATTGATCAAGAATCAGGAATGGCAAAACAACACTAGTTAGAAAACAAGAACCACTAGTTGTAAATTTAACCCAGTATGTGTTGAAGAGAGCTAAGAATTTGCGAAAAACCAGCAATTATTTATCATAAACTGATACTGGAGCCTAAACAATTCTCACTTGAGCATGTATGATCAGTGAAACTATGGATAAAATTACGAACTTTTGGAAGATCATTATTTATTTATTTATTTACATTTTCTTTTTAAATTTTATAGTGAAAGTAAGTCATAGTTATTTCAAAACCAAAATAAATGGAAGTAGAAAAGAGTGCAGAAGCTGAGAATTGAACCTGCAAATTCCACATTTATCACAGTGATATTGGTTCTTTGAAACCTGAAATCCACAACCAATCTCTTCTGTATAAACAATTATGCAAACGTACAATCTACGAAATTTACGAAGAATTAATAAGAGTTACAGTAGAAGTCGGTGACTCACATCATCATCAAAGAACTTGCATTTTGAGCAAAAGTACTTCCCCATACAAACCCCACAACTTCTGCAATTTTGTTGAACCTAATTGCAAAAACAGATCAAAACCCACATAAATTTTCTATTAACTGTCTTTTCTAAATAAAAAAATAAAAACTAAAAAATTGTTTTAAGATCATGACTAGGAGTAGTAGAGACTCACATCTTGTTCTGTGCCACATAGTGAACATATGACCTAAAATAACAAGAGGGTATACATAATTAGAGAATGATGAGAAAATTCAGATGAGAAAATAAAAGGGTATTAAAAAAGAAAGAAATAAGGAAAGAAATTGCAGTGAATAGATTTTCTAGTATAATTAAAACCTTATCCACAAAAGTAACAAGTATGGACAGTCTAAATCTGTTTGTCTCATCCTACAGAGTCGTCCAAGATAGTCTTCAAGATTGGAAAACTTAATGTTATCTAAGTTTATCTCAGCACCTTGAACAATTCATCACAGCACTGACCATGAAGATATCTTCAGGAAGCCAAGAACATTGACAACAAAGATATATATATACATACAGAGTTCAATATATACTTCTAAAAGTATATTAATATATGTATACACATACATATATACAAACACCTATGTATGAATAAAGCATCTATACCGATTTAACTTCATGGCGCGGGATATCATGTCGATGCAGAGGATTGATATCCAAAGTATTCTGTCCAATTACAATAAATAAATAAAAAGGGAATAAGCAGATATATAGAAACAATTGAATCAATAAAAAAATAAAAATAATAATAAAAAAGAATTAGAATCGGAATTGCAAGTGAAGATCACACACCTTAGCTTCATTATGGCAATGTCTGCAATCAAAGATTTCATTGCAACAAGGGGCTCTGATTTTGCACTTCCTCCTGTAATGCGTACATCTAACACAACCCCGATACAATTTTTAATCAAAATTAAAGAACATATAAAATTTAAAAATAAAAACTCAAAATAAAAGATACCCAAAACTTTAATATAATAAAAATTCAATCCAAAATGAAGAAGAAAGAAGAAATACCCAAAATTCGCAGAACCAAGCTCGGTAAAAGATTCAAATTCACTACCCATTCTGTTCAGATTTTGGCAATGTTTCACTCAACTGCAATGATCAGAAACTGGGATTTTCAATATATATGTATGGGTGTATATATATTATGCATATGAAATTCAACCAGTAAAGCTTTTGATAACAATGGTGTATTTGTGCAAGGAATGACAAAGCAACACATCAGAGCTTACGCGTTCAATTGTTTATCTTAAAACAATTGAGACTAAATATAGAAATTTTTGTCAGCGGACCTTATGCACGTACCCATAATATAATAGCAGCCTTTTGCGGACTCAGAAAATTCTGATTTTTCAATTGCTATGAGTTGGAATTTGGGAAAGGAAAAGGAAGTACTGTCTACTTCAATGAACAAACAAGCTGTACAGTTGTGTTTATATATGGCGGGAAAAGCAACTAGGCATGAAGATTGAAATTACTAGTAAGCCCCTGGTTCTTTTTGGTTATTGCATTAACTATTAGGGGTATTTTTGGGATACAAATATTCCAGTCTCCAATTTAGTGAGATAAATTTTAAATTTATGGATAGGTTCGGACATTTATCTGACGAGGCACCACGTCATTGCTCCAATTATTTTGTCCATTTTTTATTTACATATTTTTTTTACAGAATAATTAGGAGCTCGATACGTGGCAGATAAAGAGTGGCGATGTTTGTTAAAAGAAAGACTACGGTCAACGGAGACTACTTGTTTGGAGACGGCTCAGACGAGGAACCGCAAATCAATTTTGGAGTTGTCTTATTCGGGTATTGGTCCATTCTCGATTTGGGTAGATTAGATCAGGCCAAGCCCAAGTATACCTAATGAAAGACACTGCACACCAAATGAGTTTTAAAAGTCTTGGGTTTTCTAAAGCTGAGAGAAGAAAAAGAAAATAAAATAGAAAAGGGAAGTTATTTTTGTAAAATTTTGATTTCTTCCTGCAAGTTATTATTTTTCAAAGTTATAAGAATTTTTTTTCTTTCCTTTTTCCTTTTATTCATAAAATTATAAAACCAAGCAAACAAAAACAAAATTCTTAAAATTATAAAACCAAGCAAACAAAAACAAAACTGTTAACAAAAACAACTTTTTCTAACTTTTGAATGCTTTCTACATGTTTCAATGGTGGGGCTGCTTTAAAAGCCACGTACAAATTGTCAGTTGTCGTAATGCTAGATATTTTGACAACTTTTCAGAGATAAAGCATTGCAAAAGTTGATAGTAGGTTCATATTTCTTTATCACACCACGTTCGTTTTATTTATTTATTTGAATATGATTTGCATAAAAGACAATTCATTTAATTGTCATTGGAATTTAAACTCCACGTTGACACAAATTCTGGCACGTCACATGTCAGTCATCTAAGAACATTTCGAACAGTCTGTCAAAATATTTTTTATGTGAAATATATAATGTCATGCATAATATAAAAATAAATTTGTAAAAATTATGTGAAGTATGGTTAGTTATTATTGGATAATATATTTTTACATAAAAGGTATAAAATAACCAACTAAAACTAAAAATAAATAATTTAATTTTTTTTTTTTTTTTTTTTGTATAAATTTATTATAACACATCGGATTTACACAAGAAAATATACACAACAGTAAGTATTGACACATGTTCCGGGGTAATAAATAATTATAGTGTTATCGTGTGTAAATGGTACATCAGAATCTACCTATCAATACAATTTTCTTTTGAATCATGCTTTCTTAATTTAACTTGATTTCTTTAATTTAATTCAACTCCAACAGTTAATAATTTTAATTAATTCATCTCTTTTACTTGTTTGGTTAATTTAGCTTCCTTAGCTAAATCAAATTCCATTTCCCTCCACGTTTCCTTTTGCAATGTTGATTTCTGCAGTAGTTTAATCACTCTCCCCCATTTCAATTCATGTCCAGATTTAAACATTCCAAAAACAAGCCAAGGAGAGAATGTGTTTGGAAATGAGGAACCACAAGAAACTTTTGGACCTATTATATTCAGTAGTGGGCCTATTATCCAGTAAGAGTCGTCCCAGGCATGTTAGGCATTCTGCTTTATTAAGTCCACCTGAGCCCAATAAAAGACACTACTATATTTCTACTAAGTCACATAATCCTTCTAAAGAAGTGTCGCTCTAACGTTCCGCTCGAATTCTGCCCTGCTCTCAAATTCGCTCTCGCTAGAGTGTTGAAGTCAGATCACAGTGTCTATAATTTCGGGTTGAATGTCTTCTTTTTTTCCTTAAAAACTTAATTTATTGGATAATATTATATATACGCTCATATATACTCAATATTCCCTCCCGTTCGAATTCGATGTATGATAAAAACTTCTAACACCAACCTTCTAGGTGGCCAGAAATTTTGGCCATTTCCCCACTAGACAATGCCACAACTTGTCTACAGGCTATTGGAAACTTGTGACATGCAGTCAATTCCTTATTAATTGATTCAATCGAAAAGAAAGTTGAATACAGATAGATTCGGAACAGCCATAAAATAAAATTTCGAAAAACAAATTAATCTGAATATCAAGACACGTATAAGGTAGACGTTAACCGACTAAATTAATGGTAGAGGAACAAAGGAAAGAAGAAACACTGATTATTATTGGTTTATAAAAAGTGAAGGCAGAGCATGAAATTTGAAGAACATGAACTTCCAATAATAATTTTTTTTTGAGGAAGATGCACTTACAAATAAAAAATAAAATTGCACTTATAAAAACTTTCCCACATTCGTTAAATTTCATGATCTGTTTCACTTTTATAACCCAATAATGGTTGTAGTAAATCATAAATTTATGAAGTTGGTCAAATGTTTAATATTATGTATGATATTAAACATTTTAGTCTAATAGTTATTAAATATAAATATAGATAATTAATAAAAAAATACAAGACGCGTCATTTTTTAATCTAGAACCTACTAAAATGTGTCAGCCTGACGATTTTATGTAAGCTTGATTGAAGGGGGCAAGGCCAATACAATGTTGACACGTGCTTGACCCGTGACAAAATGTTATCAAAGTAGGCACAATACTTGATTTGGTGTCACATCACATGGAAGTGTTTGGGTCATTAGCCATCGTTAGTGTGGACAGCAGGATAGGTAGGCAAAGTAGGAAGTGCGTAATAGGTTTAAATGGGAGAGAATGTCATGGATTCTTGACCCACATCGAATCTGAATAAAGATGGTCTTAGACATATAAGGTTGTGTGTTAGCATTACCTAATAACTTAAGCTTTTAATTCGGATCATAAAGCAACTTGTTCAAATCCTTATAAAAAAAATCTTACTTGAATCGGATCACGAAATATTCGGCCCTTGAAAAAGAGGGCCAGTCCGGCCTATCATATTCGATGGTGGGCCCTCTATCCATTAGAGTCCGCCCAGGCATTTTGGGCAATATCCGTCCAATTAATACTAAGATCCTACCAACTTTTATTTTTCAGATGCTTTAATTTCTGCACTGAGACATACAAAATTGGAAATGGATAAAACATTGACAATAGATTTAAAATAGAAAACAAAACTTATTTCTAGATTTACTATCGACACGCTTTTTATACAGGCTGTCAAAGAGGAGCCATATTAAAACTGTCCCAACTCCCAAGAACTATCTCTCTCTCTCTCTCTCTCTCTGTTTTATCAAGGAAAATAAAGAACATAAAAATAATAATAATAATAAGCTAATGGACTTCAATTAATAGTGACATATTTTGTTTTAATTTCTTAATTTTTTTCATGGGCATGGTTTGGTCCAAATATTTCTATACAAGTTGCTTGTGTGTCTTGCCTTCAACGTGGCCAATGACTTTATTTAGAGTTAAATTAGATCAATACATGATTTGGAGTCAACTTAGCAAGTTCTAAACCAGTGCTGCTTCAAAACCCATGCCTAGCTTGTGGAATGAAGAGGTCGTGCATTATTTTTATAGTGTTTCAACTCAATCTGAATTTAGCGCAGTGATTGAAGCACGTGTCCTGCACATGCAGCTTGTGATTCATATATAAATATGTATATCTGCGTGTGTACATAGCACACATTAGAGCATCAAACTAGAAAGATGACAAACATTTCAATCCAACTAGTTGTTTAAACTAGTTATGTTGCCACCCATTAAGTCATCAATTGTTTTTTTCTAAAGGAAGCTTAAACAAATAATCACCAATCAAACATATAGGGTAGGCTTATACAAGCTGCTAATTTGCATGAATTTTATATTCCATAAAGAATCTAAGCTCACCACATTCCTGGAAATATAATTACAATGATAATAATGTACATGAAGGCCATCAACGGAGTGACATTTATATTGTGTAATGTAATACTATGTCAACTCCCTTATTTTTTTGTAATATCAGAAACCGTCGTATGATTCCATTCACACCTAAAATACGATCATTAAATTATAATGTTCGTCTTCTATATATATCAATTACCAGACCTATCATCATCAACAACTTATTTTTTTTGTAATATCAGAAACCATAGTATGATCCCATTCACACCTAAAATGAGATCATTAAATTACAATGTTCGTCTTCTATATATATCAATTACCAGACCTATCATCATCAACTTGTCCAGTACTATACAATGGAGACGAGGGATTCATCACTAGGGCATGTTGGTGACTTGAGCTTATTTCATGATCTCATGGACGAGACAAATTTCAAGCAGTTCGTTGATTTCATTAGAGGCGAAAGCGCGGAACCAATTGTTAAGTTTTGCCCTAACTATGATTGTGCGCATATCAGTGGATGTTTGGAAGATGACCAATTATTTGGACCGACCCTGGGAGATGTTTTTGATTTCAGTCCTGCAGCAGCCATGTCCAATCCGAACTCAGTAATGAATTCGTTGGCAGGCGTTGATGAGGAGATGAAGGGCGCGGAGGAAGAGAATGATGAGGAGGATTCATCTGCAACCACGACGACTACTACTACACCAACAAAGAGGACAACAAAGGTTGATAGGTCGAGAACTTTGATCTCAGAGAGGCGGAGGAGAGGCCGTATGAAGGAGAAGCTCTATGCATTGCGTGCCTTGGTTCCGAACATAACAAAGGTGTGTAATACTGAAACTTTAAACTTACTACGTCTAGTGATATTTTTTCACATTCTAAAGTGGAAAGTCGAGCGTTCAAGTCCCTACGAAGCATGTGGGTGTGTGTAAATCTTGTTTTTAAACAAAATACCTTCTTTATATGCAGATGGACAAGGCCTCCATAGTTGGAGATGCTGTACTGTATGTGCAAGAGCTGCAAGTGCAGGCTAAGAAGCTAAGAGCCGAGATTGCAGGACTCGAGTCATCCTTAGCACAAACAGAAGGATATCAAGGAGGATTATTTGAAAACCCAAAGAAGAACCAAGTTACTAACATGAACAATCATCATACTGTCAAGAACATAAAGCAGGTGAATATATATTGAGAATTTCTATACATTCCAAATTTAAATGCTTGAATGAAAAATTCTAACATATGCTTCTGCAAATGTGAATATTGTAGATGGACATGTTTCAAGTTGAAGAAAGAGAATTTTATGTGAGATTGGCGTGCAACAAAGGACAAGGGGTAGTAGTGTCACTCTACAGGACTCTGGAGTCACTCACATGCTTCAATGTTCAGAGCTCCAACTTGGCTACAAATACTGAGAGTTTTGTATTGACGTTTACTTTGAATGTAAGCTTTTAATCCTCCATTATTGAGTATGAATATACATGTTTTCTTTGGCTACATGGCTTTGAAGGTTAATGTGACCAATCTGTTTGTTTAAATGAAAACAGGTTAGAGAATGTGAGATGGTCATCAACTTACCAAATCTGAAGCTATGGGTAACCGGAGCTCTAGTGAAGCAAGGATTTAGATTCGAAACACAATCATGTGCCTAAAACCTCTTCGAAAATCTCTCTCTCTCTCTCTCCTTTTTGATTCTCAACCTAATAAACCATGTATGTTATTCAAATTAATTATGTTAATTGCCACAAGTACTGTATGTTGTTCATACATGGTGCTACTAATTTACAACTTAATAAACCAGTATGTTATTCAAATTAACTGTGGTAATTACCACGAGTAATGCATACTATATGTTGTTCATACATTATGTTGATGCAACTAATTTACAAAAGCAGAGCAAAAACAGGGGATTTTTCAACAATTGTGTGGTACATGCGGGATGTCAGAACTCTGTATCTACTTAATGGAGGACTACGGGGTACCTTAAGAAGAGACGTGACACTACCTTCATCAAGAAAAAAATAAAGTTCCATGGGAATTCATAAAATGGAACCAAGTTCAATGTATAACAGTTTTGGAATTTTTGTTGTCATCATCGATCATCAATTATTAAAATCAATTTAATCCGAGGAAACGGAAGTCAAATTAACGAGTAAGTTGTTAAGTACTTATTCTTCTTCCAGTTTCACAGGAATTCATAAAACAGAGCCAAGTTTAGTGTATAACAGTTTTAGAATTGTTGTTGTCACTGTCGATGATTATCAGTTGTTAAAATCAATTATCCGAAGTAACCGAAGTCAAATTGTTTAGTAAGTTGTTAAGTACTTACTCTTCTTACTAACCTGAACTCATTCTAGTTTTAGGAGCCTAATTAGCAAGTCAATTACTATACTTTATGGTTTATGGTAAACCCCACAAAGATTCACTCAATCCTTGCTTAAAATTTAGTTATCTACAACCTTGTTATGACTTACTTGGTGTATTAAACAATGGGAATGAAACATTTTCGGAAACCTACTACCATGTTAGGATAATATATTGTATGCTATAGGTAGGTGACACAAAAAATTATTCAAATTAAACCAATCTTTTGATTTGACATACGGTTTGAACTTAAACTGACTACCAGTTTACTCAAGATTGACTTGGTAAATTAACAAGCGTCAAAGTACAAAAGCACCAGTTCTGCCAGGGAAAAAAAAAAGAAAAAAAAAGTGCAAGCACTAGTTTTTAAGTAATTTTTCACCATGAGTTGTAGGGAATTTAAGTCTTACTTTGGCTTTGAGTAAGTTTTACTCTGTTGGGTTAACCAAAAAAGTGTTACTCACGGTCTCCAAAGCTTCCTCAGACCTGAAAAAGTGTAACCATGTGCACCAATCACCAGTTTATTTATTTTTGTTGTCCCTCATCTTTCTCATAGGTCATAAAGCTGCTTCACACGTAAATGGCAACTTTTTGTCAGCCTAATTCCCTGTTCAATTTTGAATTTATAGCGAAACCTTCAAAAACTATATGTTACAATCGCTTAATTATAAACCATTGGAAATTATATTTTGACTCCTAACATGATTTTTATTATTATTATTATTTTTTTTTTTTTTGAGGAAATATTTCCATAACCCAGAAGAATTGGAAATTTTTGGCATCTTAGTACCGTGAAAATTCTAGTTAGAGTCTTTCTTCACAAAGTTACTAATTTCTATCATCTTAGGGATTTACTATAACTAATACACCTTCATGAGAATTAGCGAAAGAACTGTGGAATAACCATGACATATGGAAGCACTTGAACATGAAGAAGCCAAGTTTCAAGCAAAGTCCATGAATTTTATGGTTCAACTGTTGAAAATTTTTTAATTGTGGATATAAAATTAGGAAGGCTAAATAACAAACTTAGAAGAAAATAATAACAAAAAACAAAATATAAAATAAATATAAAATCCAAAGCCGCCTTCCTATATGACATATTTGCTTTAGTCAAGCCATTTCAGAGCTCCTAGTCCTAATCATGTTTGTTTTTTAAGAAAATCAGTACCGCATGAAAATAAAAATATTAGAGAAAGAGAATTCAAGTGACCGACCCAATCACACGGAATTACGGCAAGAATGATGATTACAATGGCTGCATGAAAATATTACAGTAGCTTAGCTGTAGTTACAGTAGCTTAGCTGTAGTTATAATTAAGCAGATGTCGCACCTGTCCTCGACCAATGAGTAGTAGATGCGGTAAGAATTATGAGAGATGAGGCACCTGTCCTCAACCATTGGGTCACATGGATCCCATGGTTCGACTCATGTAGAGCCCACACGATCCAAGCCTGAGGAGCGAAGGTTAGATAGCACCCCTCTAGAATTGAGAATGCAATCCCAATATCCCATCAAAGAAATCTGACCAAAAGAGCAGAAAATTCATTGGTTTTTTAACTGGGAAACACCTGAACCTTCATCCTTTTTTTTGCAGATGAGACATGATTTGCATTTGTTTTCCTCCGATGTTCTCAGATTTACAAAACCATCTACCAAAACCCGCCAACTAATTGACATCTTTAGAATTCAAACTTACAATCAAAAATCAAAAGGCCTAGTCTAAAAAAAATGAACTAGCAGCATTGCTCACACTCTAAAATGTTCCGCAAGAGTTACCATCAGTGTCACAAGGTCCTATGGATTGGATTATAACCCGAGCTCCAGAAGCAAGCCTGCTGGAAGGAAATAAAACAAAATCCCAATCAACGATGGACAAAGAAAAATGGAGGCATGGTGTGAGTTGATTATTTTCTGTTGTGAATGGGAGGGAGTCAAAACTTAACTTTCTTCGATCTTGATCACATTTTCATTCTCTTCTTTGGAGGTATCTAGTCTCTTTGAGTGTTTCTTCCCCGATGAAGGGTCTGTGATTCTTTTACTGCTCCCATTGGATGTGGCAGGGGATCTGATTAATGAGCTTTCAAATCCATCAGAGGAGATTCTAGGTCTTTCGGGAACAGGATATCTCATTGATTCACTTCTTGGCTGCTTACTCAGTGAAGCCCTCAGTGACCGAGGGATGCACTTTGAACGTGTTGACGTTGCCGCCTCCTCATCTGCAACTGATTCCAAATGCTTAGAAATCCTGCAATTCCAATTACTTTCCTACTTTTAGTACGAAGGAAAACTAAGTGAAGGAAGGAACAACAGATTGCTGCTTGACCAGAATTGAAAGGTTGAGAAGCGGTCACCACCTTAATTTAACAAGACTTGTGAGTCAATGAATGGAAGCAAACCAACAATCTACGACCACCACCACGACAACTTGAATCCACACAGAAAAGAGGGGTAAAAAAAAAAAAAGGAAGAAGAAGAAGAAGAAAGAAATAATCCATTGATTCAATCAAATATCTGCATAATTTTTCACCAAGAATTGTAGGGAATTCTTAATAATGGAAATTCAATGGTCACTGAACAAGATTTAGATGAATGATTTGACAGACGCCTGGTTCATTGATGCATTGGACCCCAATCATATCATACTCATATAAGTATAGAAGTTGATATAAATACCATAAACTTTTAAATATACAATGTAAAAATCTGTTTTCAACCCTGTTTGGCAGGATGGACACAAGTGTGAGATGAAAATTTCTAAAAGACTAAAACTATATCAGGTTACTCACTAGCTCATTGAACAGATTGTGTCAACAGATTCTAGTAGTTGCCTACTTGTCTTCTCAGGGTTCCTGCCTCGACAACTTCAAGCAAATGACAGGCAAAAAATGGAAATTCTCATGCTTTATAATAATTGTTAGTATATTACCTTCTTTTTTTTCCAACATTTCACAAAAAAAAAAAAAGATGGACAGCATCCAAACAAGTCATACTGCAATAAACTGTCAAAGATATACTAACCTGTCAGCATTGTAGGAAGAAGATCGTTTTAAAGCAGTAAACCCATCTCCAGCCTTGAGCATACTTGTCTCAACCAAGCTCCCACTGAAATATTCCTTATCTTCCAACTTGAGACCCATGAGCCTCGGATTCTCTGCCAGGCAATCAAGCTCCCCAAACATCATCGATGTTGAGAACAATGGGGATGGAAATTTTGAATGTGAAAACCCTGGCCTATAAGTTGGAATGAGGCCAAAGTTGTGATCTTTCACTGAAATTGATCCACAGGAGATCAGTTGCATCAGCATATTTGAAGCCTTGAGCTTTGTATTAGACGGCATTCCAAATTTCTCCTCTTCAAGTATCCTAAAGCTGTTGATCTTACTAGCATCAGCTCTGATCAGAGACTCCAAAGTCTCGGTCTTCCCACCTGACGAAGATGCACTGGACAAAGATGGAGGTGGGGAAATTGAATTCCCGCTTATTCCTGAAGTACTTTTCACATGTGGATCCTGGCTTTGACAAGCCTCATTCCTTTGTGGTTCTAATGACCCATCATCAGTTGAAACACCCCTTGTACAAGTCTCACGAGCTTTATTAGCTCTGTTTACATTTTCATCGGTTTGAGTGGAAGCATCAGCAAGACCATCGCTCCTGTAGACCTTGTACTCTGTCAAGCTCAGAGAACCACCCCAGGAGGAATCTTTCCCAACTCTAGCCTCTGGCGATACACCTGATGAACCTAGACGTTGAACCGGAGAAGAGAGCTCATCATCCTGAGAGTTCTTTCTCTCACTTTCATTCATGCTCAAGGAAGATGAAGAATCGTCTTGGCTTCTCGAAGATGCTGGTTCCGTTAATTGTTTTGACTTCTGCAATCTTAAATTTCCAGCAGGACTAAAACTACCTGTGAACAGAAGCTCCAATTTTCAAGCCCAAATGGATGCCAAAATAGGAAAACATTTTGAATGACAACATCATGTTTCGGCAGAGAGACTAAACAAAATTCTTGGGAAATAGGTTCCCATATGAGTTTCATTTTGATGCATTTACAAAACCATGCAGGCTTCTGAGAATGATACCAAATAGGCCAAATTTTCTGTGTCATTCTTTCCAGAAACAAAAAAGAAAATAGTAAGAAAACATTGCCTAGCTAAGCCAAATAAATATAATCGACTTAACTACTTAATTGGATAGTTTCATCTTGATGAGTAAAATATGAAAATTAGATGATTCACAAATTTTATTATTTACATTTTTAACTGTACATTTTTCTTACCAACCAAGCAGCTCTTTGGGGGGAAAAAATTTAAAACAGGAAAATGAAACAAGTATGTCGTATTTTACCAGAAACAGGTTCATCAAAGAGCTCGGAGCCTTTGAGAACATATTCATTTCCATGAGCAGGAAGAATCAAGTCATCTTCACAGAGATCATGCCACACAAAGCCGTTCTTGTAGCTTCTGCATCATGCCGGAGTAAATCAGAAAAAAGATATTCCTGCAAATCAAATTTCATAAAAAAGTAGACTGAAAATTAAGTGCTACATTGTCTTTACCTCTTGCAAGACCAGGAATATAGTGAAGCCATGCCTCTGCCTCTCAGAACATTAAGCCTATCTATCACATCTGCAAAACGCACATAAATTTCAATATCCAGAAATTACTAGCACACTGATCAACAAATTATCAAATTGTTGTCATTGCATAAACATTCAATGGCATCATAGCCATGCGTATGTGTACTATTGTACCTCTCAAATAGAGGCCATCTGATGATGAGAGTGGAACTTCTATGAAATGAGGATGTTCAAGCTGTCGATTTCTACAGAGATAGTAAACCACTGGAACCTTCTTATTCTGCTGATACCTCGGCGACTTCTCCGTCCACACCTTCGTCCTCTCCGGACTCACCTGCCGATATTTCTTCATCCGCCCCTCCATTTCCACCTCCAAAATCACCTCAAAACCCTAATCCATTTATCTAAACAAAAATCACCTCAAAAACTTCAGGCGTTACTCAATCACAAAACAATTTCCGTAGTTTCACAGATTATCGTCGAAATCAAATCGAAAATCTCAAGCTGAACATATTCACACATCGATAAAGCACAATAGATCTGAAATATACTAGAAAATCTCTGAATCTTCGAGAGATCAAATGCGAGGCAATCAAGGAAGATGATGAGATCAACAGAGCTAAACACAAAGTTCATATATATATATATATATATATATATATATATTGCAAATTAACGGAGGAAGAAGAAATTTCAAGTAATAAGTATGGTATTTCTTCAAGTAATAAGTATGGTGAAAAGTTGACATTGATTGTTGAAATAAACATGTAGGTAAACCATATCCGTGTGCTTATTTTAGTGAGAGGAAAAGGAGTGTGTGAGTGTTGGTTTCAGAGAGACAGAGAGAGCGAACCTGAGAATGAAAGAGAGTTCTATTCGGTGCGCCCGCATTTATTGCACAGTAGTAAATTTCTGGATAGCTTTTACAGCAGTGGAAGAAGTGTGTGTCTCAGTGTGTGTGTGTGACTGTGTGTGAGAGAGATGATGGAGCTTCGAAACGACAGCAGAAGAAAGTGACTTGACTAACCTGAGAGAGAGACGAAGAACCGCTTTGCCCTTATTTTTTGTGGTTACTTTGTTTTACATTATTTATTTTTGGCTGATTCGATGGGGTTGCTCTGCTTTTTTCTCCCAAACCCCATCTTATTAGCTGGTTTTCAGCGATCTTTTTACTTTTTAGTTACTTTGACCAACCCATCTCATTATTTAGTTATTTGAATGTAACATGGTAGGGTTGACACATCATCATGGCTTGAATGCAATTCAAAATTAGTGAATTTAATTTAATTTTAAACGTGTTTGTTTCATAATTATCTCAACTCAAAATAATAATTGTGTATTGTGGTCGGATTTGGAGCAAAGTTGTTATGTAATGGGTGACTTTGAAAGAAGATGTCAATGGGGATGGGTCACCCCATCCATCCCAATCCCATTCCGCAAATAAAATTTCATTCCCAAACTCACCGTGCATAAAGGAGTGGTAGGTCAAGGTTGCATTGTAACACATATTTTTAAGAAATTTTTTTATTTGGAATGCATTTATGGTAAAGTTTTATTAAAAATAGATAACAATCACACTCATGAATTTTTTAATTATTGAAAGTACAAATCTTGATATAATATTTACTAGTAATTAATAATTTGGATAAATTCAAGAAGAATTTGATAGATATAAGATTTGATGTAATTCACCATAAACGGATACTTATCATTTCATTCAAAAGCTTAAAACTGTTATAAGATACCATCTATTTATTTATTTTTTATTATATCAAACAAGAACCTCAAATGGTTGCATATAAAATTTTGCATACAATAATTTCAACTAAATTCATTCCCAACAAAAGCTTGTTTTGGAATATTAATGGTCTCAAAAACTTAATTTAGTAGAAAATGAGTTTAACATCCACATTTAGCTATCCAACACTCTCTCTCGCTCACTCACACACAACCTTACTTGCACGTCAAGAGCCAAGGAACATGCCAAACTAAATAAATGCAACCTTATCTGCATAAAATTAACTACGATAAGCATAAAGGACACAATTATCATTACAAAACAAATGACTTATACATACATACATACATATATATATATATATATATATATATATTGAGAGAGAGAGAGAGAGTCATTATTTTTTGCTCTTCGTAAAAGAAAAAAATTAATTCTCACTTTCTATATATACCGTTAGATTAAATTTAACGGTCATTTTTTAAACCTACATATGACCTTTCATTTTAACACAAAACCACCCACCTTATTCTTAGTTTCTATATTTAATTTTACTATTACCACTTACTGTAATAATAAAAGGAAATTATCAACTCTTTCTTCATTTCTTCATGAATTTGAATCCATAGACAAAAGTGTGAACAAATGATTACTCTCCATGCATAAGGTTGTGAAAAGAGTTTCACTCAATTTTTTTGGGTTACCTTGTTATTTATGAGGTAGATTCTACAGTCCCACCACCATATTTAGTACATCATCATCATCTAATAATCAAACTCAGAAATTCACAAATTTAATAATGAATTTCACCAAATGCCCAACTTCAAATTGAAATAGAAAGAACTTTTGTTCAAATTTTAAATGATATTTTCTTCAATTTTAATTCTAATTAATCAATTCGATATTAAAAATGCAACATTACTATATATTTGTTGGTAAATTTACTTATACCGAGAAGAACATGATGTTTCTTATGAAAATGTTATAATATCATATTGTTGTTGTAAAATTGAAAGATACTGGTGTTGTTTTTATTTCAAATAAACCTCTAAACAAAAACAAAGTTTTAGTAAAATAAACAGTTATTAATTTTTTTCAAAGGTTTTTATTTTTATTTTGATAATTATCTTTTATTGTTATAGTATGTAGTAATGGTAAAATTAAATATAAAAACTAAAAATAGGGTGATAGTGGTTTTGTATTAAAAGGAAATGTCATACGCGGGTTTGAAAAATAATCGTTAAATTAATCTAACGGTCTATGTATATATATATATATATACTAGGAAAAGGCACGAACATAATGTGATAGAAATTTATAGAAAATAAACAGTCAATTTTTGGTAAATTTTATAAAAATTATTTTATTTTATTTTATTTTATTAAAAAAACTCATAACAAATAGATAAATAGGTAATATGTGTTAAAATTTTACAGAAACTCTTTTAAAAACCCTTTTTATGTCAATTAATAAATATTTTTTTTATATTAATAATTCTTATCTAGTTAGATTTCAATAAATAAATAAATAGGTAATTTGTGTTAAAGTTTTATAAAAACTCTTTTAAAGCCTCTTTTTATATCAATTAATAAATAATTTTTTATATTAATAATAGTTGCCTAATTAGATTTCCTTTTATTAAAAAACTCAAAATAAATAGATAAATATGTAATTTGTGGTAATGTTTTTCTAGTCTAATTAGATTTTCTTTTATTAAAAAACTTATAATAAATAAATAAATAGGTAATTTGTATTATAATTTAATAGAAATTATTTTAAAAACTATTTTTATATCAATTAATAAATATTTTCATACTAATAATTCTTGTCTAATTAGATTTTTTTTATTAAAAAACTCATAAACAATAGGTAAATAGGTAATTTGTGTTAGAGTTTTGTAGAAACTCTTTAAAAACCTCTTTTAGATCAATTAATAAATAATTTTTTATAATCATAATACTTGTCTAATTAGATTTCCCTTAATTAAAAACTCTTAATAAATATATAAATAAGTAATTTGTGTTAGAATTTCATAGAAACTCTTTAAATATTATATCTTTGTCTAGTATGATAGAGTTTTATTGAAAATAAAATATGTAATTTGTAATAGAGTTTTATAGAAATTATTTTATTTTCTTTAAATATATCATTGTCTAATTAGATTTAATATTATTAAGAAACTCGTAATAAAAGTTAACTTGTGGTAGAGTTTTAGAAAAATTATTTTATTTTATATATCAATTAATAAATATTTTTTTTATATTAATAATTATTGTCTAATTAGATTTTCTAATATTAAAAATTTCATAATAATAAATACATAAATAGGTTAATTTAATTTTATTAGATAGATTTTAGAGTTTGATAGAGTTTTTTTTTATTTTTTTATTTTATAAAAACTCTTTTCATATCAATTAATAAATATTTTTTTTATATAAATAGATACTTAAATACTGAAACTCTTTGCACATTTAATAATAGTATTGATAAAACTCTTTTTATATCAATTAATAAATATATTTTTATATAAATAAATAAATACTGAAACACTTTAGATTTTCTTTTATTATTATAATTTTTTAATAATAAATACTTTGGCAGAGCTTTTGTTTTTTTCTCTGAAAATTATATTTTCTTTTATTAAGAAATTCATAATAATAAATAGATAAATAGATTAATTTGAATTTTATTAGGTAGATTTTAGAGTTTTATAGAGTTTTTTTTTTTTTTTTTTATGAAAACTCTTTTCATATCATTTAATAAATATTTTTTTTATATAAATAAATAAATACTGAAACTCTTTGCACATTTAATAAATATTTTTTATACAAATAAATAAATACTGAAACTTTAGATTTTCTTTCATTAAAAAATTCATAATAATAAATAGATAAATAGGTTAATTTTAATTTTATTAGGTAGATTTTAGAGTTTTATAGAGTTTTTTTTTTTATTTTTTTATAAAAACTTTTTATATCATTTAATAAATATTTTTTTATATAAATAAATAAATACTGAAAAATGGAAACTCCTTGCACATTTAATAAAATTTATTTATATAAATAAATAAATAAATATTGAAACTATTTGGCAGAGCTTCTATATTCTGTATTTTATATATAAATATATAAATATTGAAACTCTTTGCTGGAGCTTTTATAATTCTAGGTCTACACCTTTCTGAATTTCAATCTTTATATCAATTAATAAATATTTTATAATAAATAAATAAATAAGTAATTTGTGTTAGAGTTCAATATAAGCTCTTTTAAAAACTCATTTTATATCAATTAACAAATATTTTTTATTTTAATAATTCTAGTCTAATTAGATTTCTTTTAATTAAAAAACTCATAATAAATAGATAATTAGGTAATTTGTGTTAGAGTTTTATAAAAACTCTTTGAAAACCTTTTTTTATATTAATTAATAAATAATTTTCTATATTCATAATATTTGTCTAATTATATTTCATTTTATGAAAAATTTATAATAAAAGCTAATTTGTGGTAGAGTTTTTTAAAAAATAGGTATTTTGTGATAGAGTTTTATAGAAATTGTTTTATTTCCTTTAAATATATTTGCGTCTAATTTAATTTAATTTTATTAAGAAAATCATAATAAAAGCTAATTTGTGGTAGAGTTTTAGAAAAATTAATTTATTTTATATATCAATTAATAAATATTTTTTATCTAAATAATTATTGTCTAATTATATTTTCTTTAATTAAAAAAGTCATAATAATAAATAGATAAATAGATTAATTTGAATTTTATTAGGTAAATTGTAGAGCTAGATAATTTGTGCTAGATTTTATAGAAAAATTTTATTTCCTTTAAATATATTCTTGTTTATTATATTTTTTATTTAAAAAACTCATAATAAATAGAAAAATAGGTAATGCGTGTTAGAGTTTTATAGAAAATATTTTTAAAACTCTTTTTATATGAATTAATAAATATTTTTATATTTTAATAATTTTTCAAATTATATTAGCTTTTATTAAAAAAAAAACTAATAATAAAAGGTAATTTGTGATTGAGTTTTAGGAAAATTATTTTATTTTTTATATCAATTCAAAAAAATTTTATATTAATAATTATTGCCTAAT